ACCAAAAATGACAAAGGAATCATCACTAAATACAGGTTGGTACCCTGAACTCAATTCTGAACCACAGCAACAAAACACATTACTGTAAATATTACACTCAAATTTGAAACTTTGATGATATTATACCATAACCAATTTCTTTGTATAATTATATATAGCTTATTAAAATACTATGGAGATATTTAGCAAGGTTTCCATTTAAATAAAATAACCGCCAAATCAAAAGTTGGTTTATACAAACAGCTAATCAGCAGCTTCATTTCAGGAAAAGTTGTCCTTTTGGAAATACATCAAGTAGTATGAAGAAAAAAAAAACATTTAGACAAAAAAAAATAAAGTGCACATCAATTGTACTTGGCAAAAAAAAAACAGAAAAATATACAGAATGAGATTAAATCATTCGATGAAGCTATAACTGTCAAATGGAAAGCTATGTATCTATTTATTAGACAGGATTTGTGCTTAACTTAAAAATACTTGCCAGAAATTCATCTATGGTGAATTCTTAAAACAAAACACCAAGTTGCTGTATACAGAAATACAGCAAGTTACAAACAAGACAAATGTGTTTATAGCTAAAACATATAACATGGAAAAAGTACACAGAATTGCTTTGGGGGAGGTAAAAACACTGGACTCCTTCCATGTTTAAGGTCTTCACTATGTATTATTTGAATTCTTCCATGTAATATTATAACTGTAGTTGTCAGAATTAAGGAACGTTCATCCATTTTAAAAATTGAATTATAATGAGAAAAGTAACAAAGAAGAACCAGGAATTTTAGAACAGTGCTAGCTTGGCCATTGGCTGCCATTCAATTTTATGTATGAGACTTAATGTAAGTACCCCTAGCTTTTATGAAAACCGGGGAAAATGGGATTTGATAAAGCAATTTCTTTCTCAGACCTAAATTGCTTCAGTCTATGATCTTGAAGATTGGATGATACTTTCACTCTGACATCTGTAAGAACTCAAGTGTTTGGTATCATGAAGTCTTTGTTAGTGGATAATGAGTGTTAAATATTACTTTTTAGTTGATAAACAAAGAAGTTTAGGGGGGAAAAGACACAAAGTTAGATGGAAAAGGCAGGGTGAATATGATCAAAATGCATGGTATGAAACTTTCTGAGAACTAGTATAGAGAAGGAAGACATTTAGACAAAATCAGGATATTACTTTTTAAGGAAGGTTTGTAAAAGCTTCTAAAGACATTTGAATTCATCCTTAATAAACACAACAGATATTTTGAAAATCTATTAGGTTTTTTGTGCTATGCAACATTCACAATTAGAGAACAGGTTTACTCAAGTTTTGGGTACCAGCCTAAGGAACTACATATGCTCCTAGGGGCTGGGACACCTGTCTAAGTTACTATGATTTAAACTTTCTTTAAACTCCTTCAGGAACTGTAAGGAATTGTTACTAGCCAGACTTAGCATATTTATTACCAAGGAGAAGTCAAATACATTCTTTCAATTCCTAACAATTAGATGTTTTTCTAAAATCTATTCAGTCATTGTAGGCAGTATAGGTTTATCAATTGCCTCTCCAAGCTATCCATTATCTATTTTGAGAGTATAATTTGTTTCCCACATAGAGTATGTGTTAACAGCATGATCTGTTCTACATTTATAATTAATTTTGAACTGACAAAGAAGGTAGGAAAAATTCTCCCATAAATAAAAGTAAAGGACACAAGTATTTAAACAAAAGGTCCTAGCTGTTTCCAGAAATCAGAGAGGGAAGGAGAAAGAAAGGGACAGACAGAGAGATAGAGAATGTAAACTCAGTCTGCTCAATTTTGAAAACTAAAAATACCAAGAGATTCTTCATTCCTTCCACATGACACTAGATATTTTGAAATTCTAATACTAAAAGGATAATAAATGACAAGTCGACACACTGCACTGAATCTGTGAATGAGAAACTGTTTACTCTCAATAAAATTAATAATGCCGGTTAGATTACACATGACTAATTGCTTAGTTCATGCAAAATTTTATTGGAAAATCATTTTTGTACACATAAATTCTTACCCAGGATGAAACTAAATATTTTGCTACTCCTAGCACTTTTGAAATGATAAAGAGCCTTAAATTAAATTACACTAAATGTCTTTATATTTATCCAGCATTAAACCTTATTTTCCTTACTCTTCTTCTGCCAGCGTGACATCATTGGAGCTGAAGAGGACTGCTAATACTATTTATATTACACTGCAATGTCCTCTAATTGACCTTGTTTGTGCAACGGAATGGCTGCTTTTCTCTAGCTGCCAGCCCTTTATTGCAGCATTTTGACCATGCACTAGTGGCTCTTTGTGCTGCTGCTGGGTTCAAGAATCAATACTGGATTCCCAACAGCCAATAAAGGCAGCTGACAGCGTGAATTAACTGAGTGTGGCCAGTTGCATGGCAGGCCATTGTCTTTAAGGAAAATCTGGCCATGATTACCAGCCACCATCTCTGAGTGAAGGTTTTAATGCAAAGTGCCAGGTTGCTGTAATTTAATTTTGGCCTGCTGCTCTGTCACACTCCCCTTTGCCACGGCTGCATGAGATCCAAGCTATTAATGGCTGCAAACCAAAACACATACGGAGACAAAGGCAAATACTCCCAGTCATACCGTGGTGTGCTTCCAGCTGACCTAACCATTGTCCTGTCATCGTGGTCTCATGGTAGATTCTGTTTCCTCAAGTCAATCTTCCTGCCATAGTAATAAGTCAAGCTAAAGCTTAAAATCCTATTTCGTGTGTGTGTGTGTGTGTGTGTGTGTGTGTGTGTGTGTGTGTGTGTGTGAGAGAGAGAGAGAGAGAGAGAGAGAGAGAGAGAGAGGCTTATATATGAGTGAAGATTTCCTAACTGGCAGGTTTGAAGTAGCCGCATACACTCAAAAGTATACTTGTTGCTTTTGATTACAAGCTGCTGAGATTATTAAAAAATATATATCCATATTTCCTTATTTCTTGATACTGCAAATTATGGCTGCTTCTATACATTGAATATATTTCCCCCTAAATAAAAATTCCATTGATCTTTCCCATCTTTATCTTCTCAGCCCCATTCGACACAGAGTACATAGCCCTCCTTTGTAAAACATGCTCATCTCTCGAAATGTGGTCCCTCTGATCTTGTCTTGCCAGCGTCTGTGTCCCTGCTTCCTCCTTTAATTCATAAGACTGCATCCTCATTCACATCAGCAAATGCTTCTCCTTTCCATCTAATGTCACTCACATCTTTATTTGGCTCAGATTATTGCTAAGTTTGGCCATCCTATTGGTGCTTTGAACTTAATGTTACTCAAACTGAGCTCATTCTCATTTGCTGGCCTTTCCAGCTCAGTAAATATGCATCTAATACACGTGTGAGAATGTGGTCCTTAGCTTTGAATCTTCTTCTCATCCTCCTGCACACTTAGTTCTTCCCATCAACCCCTCAAAGTTTGGGTCTAGCTGGCTACTAGTCTACATAATTCATTTGCTTTCTGGTACTTTGTTCTCTTCTCTCAAGACTGTTCTAGCTGGTGCCTCTGATTTTAAAGTGGGCCTCCACTATTGAAATGAAATTATCTCCACCCGAAAGCTGGATTTTCACCCTAAATTTCAACCCTGTTCATTTCCTTTAGTGTTCGGGGGCTTTATTTCTTCTGATAGTTTCATGTTGTGTTATCTCTTGCTACTTCTCAGGGCCATGCATTTTCTTTTCTCTTCCATTGAATGATTTCAATGCAGGAGCATGGCCTATTTCTGAGACCAGTTTATAACAAAGCAAGGGAAGCACCTGTGCGACCCTTGCCTGCAGTCCTGACATCTATGCTGCAGTGAGTGCCCGAGCTCCCCCAGGTACATCAGACAGAAGGAAAACACACAGAATAACAAAATGGGATTTATGTAAGCCTGGAAAGGAAGAAATGACATGTCATTTCTTGTTTTATCAAAAAGCCTATATTTCTGAGAGAATTTGGGTATTGAAAACATCAGTCCTGTTTATAACAGACAATGTTCTTGGCTGAAATTAATTCAAGCAGAGTTATTCAAGGGACAGTGTATTATATACAAGCCATTTAACTTGAGCTTTAAAACGATTTTCCATGTCTGAGAATTATCAAGAAGGTACCAGTTTAGATCAACATATTTCATAAACTAGAACAAAGCCTATGGTTTCAAGGGCTTTTTTCCCCTAATGTAAGCATGTGTGAGACTCTTAAAGACACAGTATCAGATCTAATTGCACTATTAAGTTTTGTGTTACCTTCACAAATTGAGGAGAAAGGGAGTATTTATTTTGCTTCCAAAGTGAGCCTCACGGCTATAAAAAACATCAAAGAGTATAATTCATATATCCGTTCTTCCATAAAGGCTGAAGCAACGTTGGGAAAGTTAAACCCACCTCAACTGCCATGTTTTTATGTAGAGAAAAACTGAGAACCAGGTGTAGTCAACTTCACATCCACATTGCTATTGTCCTAGAGTGTCAGAAGAAAGGAAGGAGGACTGGTTTGTTGTTGTTGTTGTTGTTTGTTTGTTTATTTTTCTTGCTATCCTAGCAGAGCAGAGCGTCTCGTAAATCTTTATGTCTTGGCAGCTCAGCAGCACTTGAGCGGAAAGCACAGGGGCAAATAGCCAAACGAATGGAAACACATGAATTATGAACCAATGGCTGAGGGGTCACCAACTGGATCAGGCCCTCTGAATGGGTGAGACAGTTGATTGGCTTGATTTGTTTGGGAGGCATCCAAGCAGTGGGACCAGGTCCTGTGCTCATTGCATGAGTTGGCTGTTTGAAACCTGGGGCCTATGCAGGATCGCTTGGCTCAGCCTGGGAGGAGGGGACTGGACCTACCTGGACTGAGTCTACCAGGTTGATCTCAGTCCTTGGGGGAGGCTTTGCCCTGGAGGAGGTGGGACTGGGGGGTGGGCTGGGGGGAAGGTGAGGGGGGCGGGAGGGGGGAGAACAAGGGAATCTGTGGCTGATATGTAGAACTGAATTGTATTGCAAAATAAAAAAAAAGAAGATTTCAAAAACAAACAAACAAAAAAAAGAGAAGAGACAGGCAAAGGGCAGCATCGAAGATGCCTTGTCCTCCCTGTACCTAAAGCTGAGCTTGGAAGCCATTGCCAGGGAATCTCCATAAAGCCTCAGCGGCTGTTCTTTATAGTATAGGATGACATGCTGAGCAGGAGGGTGAGGGGCATTTTCTGATGCAGAGAAACATTCACTCTGCGGTCGTTAGGAGAGGAAATTTGGTCCAAGGAGCCCAAGGAGAAATTGATAAGCCACATTTCTAAAACATGTCTGCTTTTCTGCTAGTGCCCTAGCTATATTAAACACAACGACTGCACTGAACACAGACATGAGCATGAAGGACACGGTACCTCTCCCACTCTGTACTCAGAAAGGTGCATTTTTGTGAGGCTGCCTCAAAGATTTCACTGTGAGTAATTAAATCCCCTTAGGCATCTTTGCTATTGATCTATTTCATCTACGATGATTCTTCTGATGAGCAAGACAATTTTTACCAAGTTCCCTTAGTCAAACCAACATTCTCCAGGTAAGACCTGCATTAAAATAGGTATATAAGAGCTATCACATATTACATCTTTCTGCAATAACCCTACTTTTTAAATGACAATTGTGTTTGTTTGGTCCTCCTGTGTTGTTGAAAGGGCAGGGGCAAATTTGACAGCATGCAGGTCTGGATGGAGGATGGAGTGGAGGACCATTCATCAAAGTCTCACAATGAACATGCTCATGAGAATTACTGTTTGCCAAACCTGAAATCATATGCCTTCTTTCTCATTTTTCTGCACCATGAAAAAGTTACATTTCCTTGTGGGTTTATTTGTTCTCAACCCACACTCCAGAAGTTTTGTGTCCTTTCATGAGGTAATGTGGCTATTCTTTGTCTCTCATTGCAAGCATCTGAGTCACTCTCAGGCCAAAGGAAAGGCCAGGGAGCCCCCCAGATGCTCGTGATGATATATGAGATGGGGATGTGGCATCAGCTGGGAAAACAGCAGCTAGCGCTGGAATAATCAAAAGTGACCACATCTAATAATAGTCCGTGTGACAGTGAGGAGGGGACCCCAGGAAGCAGGTGGTCTATATGACAGAGGATCGATACTGCCGTCGCAGGAATAAAATAGATTTCAAATGGAAAATAAACTCTCGGAGAACAGGAACAGGAAGACAAGAAAAGGTGGGGGAAGACAGCTAAACCTGCAGGAACCATCAGGACAAAAGGAGTGTGGGGGTGTGGGCGGGGCCCACAGCTGATTGCTGACGAAAACTGGCTGCAGAAGTGTGAGCGGAAAGACTGTCAGTATGAACTGGCTCCCACCCCATGGAAGGGGTCAAGGCAGGCATCCAGAAACTTGAACTCCCCAGAATAGCCAGGATCTTCTACATTCAAATTTACCATGCTTGCCAGAGAAAGAGAAAAAAATCTGTCAGGTGTAAGAAGCATTGACAGCTTCAAAAATTTGATTTTGTTTAGTGAGGTTTAATTTTTAGTAGAAAAATAAGGACAACCCATATTTCATTTCTTTGAAAGTAGATTTCAGTGGAAAGGGATACTGATAGAGGTAAACCTAATTTGCATTATTTGGTTCAAAACAAATGCTGCTTTGATGCCACTGTGTGTATTTGCAGTGCTTCCTTGCTCCCGTGGGAGCATGTGTATATTAACAATTCCATTCCCCTTTTTCATTATTTCATCACATATTTTAAACACACACACACACAGAGAGAGAGAGAGAGAGAGAGAGAGAGAGAGAGAGAGAGAGAGAGAGAGAGAGAGAGAGAGAGAGAGGATGAGAGAGAGAAAGATTTAGCTGGTACATCCGTAGCAGCAACCCCCAATATGAGAACTTTCGGGAGATAACCAATGTGAAACACAAATAAAACTAAATCCACTGAAAATGTTAATAAAATCTCATTACACTAAAAGAAGGAAGCATTGGAATTGCATGACTATCTGTTCTTGTCACAGATTGTGTGAATCTGTGCTCTCAGAATGTCACACAATTCTGTAGTCAGGCCTAGGGAACACTGAAAATCTCATGGAGACTATGGACTATTGTACGGTGGACAGCACCATTGTGATTTCACTCTGTTGTTTTGTATAGGTGAAACTTACAACGCACAGTGGTCTCTTTGCTAGGGAGGAGAAGGGCATCTCATTTCCCAGTGGCTGGCTAGCACGTAGGGAAGATTTTTCTCCCCACCCCTGAAAACGGAAGGCAAGGAAAGGCTGTAATCTTCCCAAAGAAACAGCTTTAGAAACCTCTAGCTATTCCTGCAATGCGGCAGATGTGCTTGCCGCTGCCAAGCTCAAGCGCACTCTGGAAAATGCTGACAGGAGGGCTTGGACTCTGCAATAAACCGAAGCAGTGTTTACATCAAGCTGTTTGGGTCCGTCAGATGTCCTCCTTGGAGTGCCCTTCAAACACGTCTCTGCATCCCTGAATCTCAAAATTGCTCGAGATGCTCATACTCTTTTCACCTGCCTGCTTTTCTTTGCCTGGATCATGAGCAAGCACTGTGAGGGCAGATCTCTCACAGTCGGCACAGAGCTGGGTACACAGTCAGTTTACAGTTCCTGGGCTGAGTGAACAACAGAACAAGCAGTGATTAAGGTTATCAAATGAAGGAGCAACCTCTTAACCTTAAGAGAAGTCTCCAAAGCTTTTAGAAGCCAAATCTCTTACTGAGCGTGGCAGGAGGCCCGGTGTCTCTAAAAGAAGACAGAAGATTGCAAAAGCAGAAAAGCCAAGTGGGCCCATATTCTCACATGTAGAACCCTTCTTAAGAAATATTCAGCCCGTGTTTCTTGACAGAGCTCTTTTGGTTATCTGCTACCAGATCGTGGTCTTCTGTTTCCCGACTAGAATTTTCTTTTTAAGCGTGACTTTCAGTTTTTGCCTGGCTGTTTGCAACCCCTCAGTCACAAAGCAAACATGATGCTCTTCCAGAACCAATGTCAGCTGAGCCTCTTGTTGGCCCTATTGTTTTAAATCTTTGCCAAGAAGAAAAAGTATAGGTAATAGCTGGATTTTTAATGCTCCCCTCCTCTCCAGCCCCAAGCATAATGCAGAGCTAACCTCTTTGCCTGCTGGATACAAAGGCCCAGGAAGAATGTGGCCCCTTTCTAGGGCTTTCTTCTTACTTCCTTAGTACCCAGTACTCTACAAAACATGGCGGGTCTGATTTGTGCCTGTGTCTTGCTCAATTGCCCAAGGTTTTCGCTGTTGTTTGCACATCTGCCACATCCCAAGAAGCCCTCCTGTTAGGAGGATCCCAAGCTACCTTATGCTGGAAGAGCCATCTCTTCATCGAGCCCTGTCACTTGACTGGGCCTTGTAAAGAGGCTGTAGTAACTCTCACTAAAATTTGACTGATACCAGGAAGGTTGTTTCATCCTTCCGCAGAATGCACCATATGTTCTTCTGTAAGCACGAGTGACTGAAGCCTTGAATTTATTCTTCAGCTGAAAGATAGTTAAAATGAGTTGTCAAACACTTTGGGTTCCATATCAGATTCAAGGCTCTTTTTTTTTTTAATATGCCCTCTGGATAATTAGAATGTTCTTAAATATATACAAAAAAGGTTTATCTACTTTCTTATAAAATAGTCTTCTAATTCAACTTTCAGAGCCACTCAAAAATAACTAATCCAGAGATGCCTTCCATTGTTAAACAGTGCATCTTGCCCTCAGCACATTTAAATACATCTTTCCATCTGGGACAGATAGACAATGGTGGTTCTTTCCTCACATGAACACAGATATAAATATGTATCTTTGTATCCATACATGCACACGTGCATGCACACAAACACATTTAAATTCTTTAACAATCACTGCCACACATTATATTATGTGAAAAAGAGAGAACAAAGTTCTTTATAATTTAATACTGAGTTATATGGCTTGCTAATAAAAAATCCGAATTTCACTACTCAAATTCCAGTCTGTATGTTTTCATACTCAATGGGCTTTTGGTGACCCATATACCATATTCTTAACTCTATAAGTTCAATCTCAAATCAACCTGTGATGACTTCACCTTGAGACTATCTATATAAAAGTGTCAAATATATTTAATAAGAGACTTCTTAGTTGTTTTGTTTTTTCTTTTGAAGTTATTACAGCTATAAAAACAGTTTTTCTGTATGCTTTTATGGTCTTTTTTTTTTAACTTATTGAAGGTAAAATTACATATCCATCTTTCCCTTTCTTCCCTACAATCCCCCACCATGCATTCTCTTGTTTTCTGTGGATCACTCACTCAGCCAAAGAAGGAAGCATCTCCCAACTGACTCCAAAGTGCCCTTGGTGTTCACTGCCACCAACTTTCTGCCACCCCATGGAATTCAGCAAACCCCAATGTGATTCCTGAAAACAAAATAAGTATTCTAAAGAGAAATCCTTGAAAATCTCTATTAGGCATTCTAATGACCAGAGAACCGCAAAAGACTTACCAAGAACAAGAGCTGGAAATGAAAACCCTTGGCTTTAAAAAGCAAGCTTTCCAAGTGAGTAACACAATGAATTCCAGGTAAATCTGTGTTTGGGAGAGGAGGACACAGTTGACATTCCAATCTCAAATCACACAAAGACATTCTGACACCTTCCTCACCTGGAGAGCCTTGGGAGCCTATAAAGTTCATTTCCCTTCACTTTAAAACAACATTTATTGTCCTCATCTAGTCCTTTAAATGAAAAAAACAAAAATAGCAATTACAAAAGAGAACACACCAAGCCATCCCCTAAACAGTATTGGTTATGGACAACAGCACTCTATTAACTTTTCCTTTTTTTCACACACACAAAAAAGTCATCGTGGGATGATTTCTATTCTCAGAATGACAAAAGAATTCACAGGAAAAACTAGACAACCTCCCTGCTGGTGATGCCTTCAAAGAGAAGTATGACAATTGAAGAAAGAATTTTTAAGAAAAGAAAGAAAGAAAATTCAGGGTAAGAAAACAAAAGAGACTAAAATGATTTATAAATCATAGAACTGGACTTTTGAAATAATCATTTAGCAACTTTGATCTCTAGACTCCTGCCTTTGTGTGTATTTTCATTTACTATCATTTCATTTACTTAAGTCTTTCCTTAAGACGTAAAATGAATTTTCTTGCATTGACCTACTACTGCATTAGATATTAGCTCTCTCTCGAGCCAGGATGCCATGAGCCCTGCATGACCAGTCAGATGTCTTGGAGCCTCACTCTAATTTGGTTCAAGGTCAAAGGGAAACTAGCTTTCGTGGTAAGTCCTTGTCATTCCTATGTAATTAGTGTCAACTAATTTGTCAGAAGTACAGGATGCTGCCCTAAAAACTGGAAGAAGGAACAGTCACAACCCACAACATTATTCTTTACAAAATAGAATACATTTCACAGAAATCTTCCATAATTTACCCAATGTCTAAAATCAATTTCTTTCACCTATTTGATACTGATTTACTTCATTTGTTTACATGTTATATGCTATGTGAGCCAGATTAAACCAGTTCAGTGTGTCGCTGTGGTACTAGTTTATGTAATGTACCATGAGTGTAATGGAGGTAAGTTTATGGGTGAAATAGCCTTTAACTTTCAGGGAAGTGCTTGGCTACAAGTAATAGGGTATGCAACTACAATGTCGTAAAAAAATGAGTTCGAATTATCTTCACGACAACAACTTACGGCTGTTTCTGGTGTGTGTTTAGCAGCTTGACATCTCTGCTTACTATTTTGTAATATCAAAACAACTGCATGCTCCACCTACCACATCTGCATTCAAAGCAGGAAAAGAGGAGAAAATGGTCACGCATGTCTAGTCTTCTTTACCAGAATAGGAAAAGCTTTCCAGAAGCGGACTTGACAGACCACTGACATCCTGCATGGCCACTCCTTGTGCAGCAGAGAGTGAAAAGTGTATGCAAGAGAGGGCACAGTGAAGACACTACCGAACAGCTACTCCATTAAAGGAAAGGGTCTTCTTGTAGATAAGAGACAGAGAACATCCAGAGGCATCTTGAAGAGTCCAGAGTCAAGAGACAAAGAGACAGACTGGACATGGCCGGGGCTATCTGTGAGAGAACAGGAGGTATAAAGATCATGAGGGCTTATAATAAGAAGGCTGAATAGCTGGGGCAAGGGGTGGGGGCTGGAGAGCTGGAGCAGGCCTGGGAGTTTAGGAGAGAGAGAGAGGTGAAAAGGGCCAGTATGGTAGATGGGGTCTTTGAAATGTATACTAGATACTTAGGAATAGAGACTGTCAGAACCTGGAGGGCATCATGGGCTTCGATTCTTCGAGAGTTAAGGGAAATGACTCCTTTTGGTGAACAGGAACATGCTTCACAAACATTTATCTAACTTTCAGAAATCCTTTTATAGTTCAACTTGAGTTCATTTCTGGATATATGCCCTTCCTAGGACCTAATATAAATGAAAGAACCTAATGGTCATAATTGACCTAGCCAGTGAAGACAGATATGAGATCCAGTGTGACATGCGTGCTCACACTATTCTCAACAAATGTGTGGCTCTGTTATGAAGGGAGAGGGAGAATGGATCTTGGAAGCAACGTTTTATCTGTTTTACAGTCATAAACATGAATCAGGGATTCTCTTACTTATTGCCCAAATCTGTAACCTACTGTGTGCACTTCACTTTTCACACTCAAAGTCCTTGCCAGACAGCAATCCAGCACACATCCCTGTGGCGTGGAAAGAAGAATGCTGTCCTGTGGCTTCTCCAAGGTCCTAATCACAACCAGCAATGGCTGAACTTACCTGAAATATATACTTCTTTCCCTCATCATTTTAAAGGAGCCTCATGACAGCCTATCTATGCCTTCAGACCCTGCCTTCCTCACATTTGGTACAAAAGGCAATAAGGAGAGGATAGTTCCATTAACCATTAAAGGCTGTTAATTGAGCTTACAGAAGTTAATAGGAAGTTTACAAACTATTTCACAAAACAGACCTGGGCTTGTTTCCAATATCCTTCTTCCTTAATGCCTGGTCATCTGATCTTTGGTGAGTGACTGGCCCCTATTTCCCACTTCACAGAGCAGGAAAGTATAAGTAGTAGGTGGGAATTGTAGGACTTACCTGAGGGTACTTTCTCCCCATTTTGAGAACCGTATCCTGTGTGTCAACTCAGAGCCAAAGAAAACTACTGCTCCCCTTGGGATTTCACTGTTGGCTTTAGACTTGTGTTTGAGTATCTAGAAATGTGTTTCATTAAATAAATTATAAAAACTCACTTATTCTACTGATATTAATAATTGATTTTAAACTCTTGCAAGTTTAAATCCACAGTCCTGGGGAGTACAAAAAAACCTTACAATTCTTAGGATTTAGAGTGTTTTGATAAGGAAGCTTATCAAAACAGATATCTAAGTTTCTGGAGATAAGAGAGGGCAATGAAGTCCTAAGAGAGGAAAGCTGAGAGAGCCTTTATATCTGTAGTATCTTTCCAGGCTTGCCTAATATCCCCCTGCTCTGATACTGTCAATTCACCCATCTTTTCTAACCTTTCTTTCTCTGAGTTGATTTTTGTGTGTAATTTAATTCATTCCAACTTGAATTATTTCATAACTATTATCTGTTTAAGTTTTCAAAATGGGGTAATGATGCAATGAAAGAAAAAAGGAAGGAAGAGAGGGAGGGAGGAAGGGAGGGAGGATGGAAGAAAAAAGAAAACCAACAGTGGATTTCTGTGGAGAATAAGTGAGATAATAATAAAGGTGCAAGTACCTGGGACAGATTCATTTTCAGACCACTGGCTCTGTCTCTCTCCCACTCTCTTCCTCTCTCTCTTCCTCTCTCTCTTCCTCTCTCTCTCTCTCTCTCTCTCTCTCTCTCTCTCTCTCTCTCTCTCCCCCCCCCCCCCGTGCGTGTGTGTGTGTGTGTGTGTGTGTGTGTGTGTGTGTGTGTGTGTGTGCTGATTACTTACTCATCAGAACATTCCAGAGTAATTTTCATCATTCTGTGAATAGTTTGAGGGTTTCTATAAATTTCCAACGTTCTTCATTTTATTCATGTTAGGCTTTCAGGAATCTTCCCTAGGGATAGATGGTTCCGACAGATGCTTTGCCTGCTCTGAATAAACATTTCTCAACCATTACATGTATTTTTAACATCCTTTCTCATCTATCTGTAAAACTTGGTCTGCAGCAAAGACCGCTAATGCTAAATCAGGGGGGAGAGACTTGATGTGACTTTTTTTCTGAAAACAGCCCAAACCACTTCTCTGCATGGAAGTGTTGATGAAGACTTACTCAGTAGGGCTGCTTCTCAAGAGACAGAAACTTACACCCTGGATGCGGTGTTCCTCTTACAATGGTAGATGCAGCCTTAATAGCAATTGAAAACTGTCTTGGAGAGATTGTTGTAAAATTGGAGGTACATTCAGTATGAATCTCATTTGTGTTGAACTAGACAGAGTGTTAGAACATGCCCCGTACAATAAACAGACTAAAAACTCATACAATCTGGTTGAGCTCCTTTGGGTATCTGCTTTCTTAGACCCCCAAAATGTTTTAGTAGTAAACTTTTAATTGTCCTATGTACCAATTAAGAGTTCTTGGAAAAAAAAATCAATAATACAGGATTCAAGCCTATAAAGAAAATGAAACTGTGTTAAAATAAGGATGTCAGACTTTCCATACAAATGGACACATCAGTTGCATCTCTGAGGAAGAAAAAAGAAAACTCTGTCTTTTTACCTTTGCCATTTTTTATGCAGTAAGAGAAAAACCAGTGTTAGCAAGCCCAAATTGCTTTCACTTTGCCAACAGGATAAATAGAATGAAATTTCAATGAAAGTGACTGAAAAATGTACATGATTGATGCTAAATTTGCAAAAATTCCAGTGATATGGGTACAGTTTGTCATATAAATGATGTAGAAATCTTTTTGTTTTGTCAGAAAAATTATGCAAAGGAAAAAATGCCAGTTTCTCTTCCTCAGCTCTAGTCCTTGCCTAGTCTAGAATTGGTTTGCTTTTTCAAGAAAGAGACAGGATTATTTTCACTTTTAAATTCTTTATTCCACTAATCACTAAGAGTATATGGCAGACATGTTTCTGTGAGAGCCTGGATGAGGATAATGGGCCCACAGCTGCTGTTCTTCATGCCAGGAGGACCGGGACACGAAAGCCCTTTTTGTAGACTTCAAGCTGGCCCCAAAATGTTTGTTATCCTTATTAGCTAGATATTGCATTAGATATATTCCAAATGCTGTTTGTGGAAAAGAAAATGAGATTCTAACCTCTGAATCAAAGGGAAATTACATCTCCTTAGAGATGGGGATGGAAGATAAGGAAAACAAACAGACTTTTCTTCCATTTCTTGATCAGGCCCACGCTCAGTCTTTATTGGTGGCAGTAATGGCAACTGACACTTTTTTTTTCTCGTGGATCAGAGGCCACACGGACTTGTCTGGCCAAGCTTACTGTGAATGTCCAGTGCTTTGGGGGGTTGGCAGTCAAAAGTCGTGCTGCTCGTGCAGTGAGTGAGCAGTGGGATTGTTTTGAACCAGGCATTGGGCAGAGACTTTTCTTCTCCAGCGATGCCCTCCTGAGCATTTTCTTCTTCTTGTTCAGGAGACAGTGCAGTCAGCTTGAGCATTTTAGTGCCGTGTCTCTTCATCTTCTTTCACGTTAAAACATTTAAAAAACATTTCTTTATCTGGAATGATATTGACAGAAGTGAGAAAAACAGCAGCCCTGCCTCCAGACACAAACACATCGGGGCTTTCTTTAGTTTTGATCTTCCTAGTGCTTCCTGGTGATTAAATTCAGTTCATACATTCCAGATTAGAACCTGTGAGCAATGTTGCATTCTCCTGGGTTGCACATCTGGAGGCCTGTGATGTCCACCTATCCCTAAATGGCAATGCTAATCTGTGTCATCTAGTCAATTGTAGTCCCATTTCACCATTATATAGTTTCTTGTGTGAGTCACTATTATATCCATACTAAATTGTTTTGGGGCTTTGTTTTTGTTTTTAACTCTTTTGCTCTTTGGGGGACCCACCCCCCAGCTCCCAAATAAACACACATGGAGTCTTATTGTTACTTACAAATGCCTGACCTTAGCTTGGCTTATTTTTGGCCAACTATTCTTAATTTAAAATATCCCATCTACCTTTTGCCTCTGGGCTTTTATCCTTCTCTATTTCTGTATACCTTTCCTTACTTCTTACTCCATGGCTTGTTGTGTAGCTGGGTGGCTGGCCCCTGGAGTCCTCCTCTTTCTTCTCTTGCTCCTTTATTTTCTCTTCCCAGATTTCCCCTCCTATTTATTCTCTGCCTGCCAGCCCCACCTATACTTTCTCCTGCCTAGCTACTGGCTGTTCAGCTCTTTATTAGACCACCAGATGTTTTAGACAGGCAAAGTATCACAGCTTTACAGAGTTAAACAAGTGCAACATGAAAGAATGCAGCACATCTTTGCATCATTAAACAAATGTTCCACAGCACAAACAAATGTAACACACCTTAAAATAATATTCTACAAGACTAAACTGCATATAACTATGTAATATTTTATATATAATTATAACACATACAAGTATATTTTAATACATTGAGTAATTATATAGAACTACCACATCTATATAACTATTGTATTAGTACTAGTTTTTTTTCTTATACCTATAAGCCATCTCTGGGAAGAGACTTGGATATCACACATGCATTTGTATTAGTTTTTCTCTTGTATTAGTTTTACCTGACCCTGTCTGGAGCACAATAGCTTCAAGATATTGCTTTTCCAACTGCAATATTTCCTCCATACTTACAAGCAAGGTGCTTAGAATTCTCCCATAACTGAGAGCTGTCCTCCTTTATCATTAATTATTTATAATTATTTTGGTCATGGATAGATGAAATCTTTTTTTAATAGTTTATGGCTATATGTAATTGTTTGGATGTGTAAATGGCCTTACATCTGGCCATGGGACCCTGTGAGTTGCTCTTCTGTTGCTGCCATAAGTCTTACAAGTTTTCTTCTTCTTCTTCTTCTTCTTCTTCTTCTTCTTCTTCTTCTTCTTCTTCTTCTTCTTCTTCTTCTTCTTCTTCTTCTTCTTCTTCTTCTTCTTCTTCTTCTTCTTTTTCTTCTCATTCTCCTCCTCCTCCTCCTCCTCCTCCTCCTCCTCCTCCTCCTCCTCCTCCTCCTCCTCCTCCTTCTTCTTCTTGTTCTTCTGCAATTTGTAGAGGACCAATATATTCCTTAGCTTATACATATCTGCCTGGTCTATAATGAACATTTCTTTGAAGAGTCCTAATTCATTTTCATAAAAATCAGTATTAGAGACCAGTGTTTGGGTGCTAACGTGATATGCCTTATTTTTAATTTTGGATTACTTTTGGAATTCTGTAGCTGTTCAAGGATACTTCAGAGTTGTCAGGAGTATTTTGTTCCACTAATTACACCATGAATTCATTCCCACTTTGGCAGGATTTCAAAGGAACAATATGAGGGTGATGGATAGGGAACCACAGAGATGAGAAAGGGACCAAGAGTTTTGTGAATCCCTATCCTAAATTTCTGAAGTGGTAATTTTCCAATCCTAAACGTTGAAGAAGTATCATTTAGAAGATTCCTATGTTAAATATATCCTGAAGAAATTTCACTATACCCTTTTGTTCTGTTTTGTGATGTGTGAGCTTTGTTCAGTGGAAACTATCATTATGAGAATATTTTTGGAGAAAGAAGGACACTGTGTCTAAAGAAGTTTCAGTAATATGTCCAACAAAACCATGTACAAAGTCACAGCACAGACCACAACAATTTACACCAATACTGCTAAGCTCTGCACTTGCCCAGTAAACTCACTGACTTGAAGCCCCCAGGTATTGTCTGGGAGTGATAGTTTGGATATTTTAAAGTATATTTAAATCATGTTTAAGGTCATCTTCTTCTACCCTTCTGTTCTCATGCATAATTAAGCACCCTGTATTATAGTCCATTGCTTATACGTTTCACTTGGCAGAAAGTTCTTAAAGGAATGGAATTTTTCTTAACAGTTTTTGGTATTTAGCAGTCATTCAACAATGACTATGTATTAAAATTCCCAGAAGACTGTTGCTACCTTTGAAAGCTTACCATATTTTAGAAGTTGCCTTTCCCTGATTTCTGTACTCACTTATTGAATTATTTTTCAATACTTTTATTAGTTTTTTGAGAGTTTCACATAATCTCTTTTGATCAAATTAACGCTCCTTCCCCAACTCTTCCTAGAAAAGCTCCCTTCTCTACCCACCTAACTTTGTTTATTTTTAAAAATTATCTATTCATTAATCTTTTTGACTAAACTGTGTTATCCAAATTGTTTTGGATGTATTGTTCTCCCCTGGAGAGTGATCAGCTTACCATGGACTACATACAGTCTTAGAGAAACTGTATCTCTATCTCTCTCTCTCTCTCTCTCTCTCTCTCTCTCTCTCTCTCTCTCTCTCTCTCTCTAGCTGAACATTACTAAGAGCTCCACAGTTTGGGGTGGGATAGTGTGTCCAACTTCCCTCTCCATACTAGGATTTGATTGAGTCTGGGCTTGCACAAATTTTGTGCATACTGTCAAAACCACTGTGAGTGCATGTGTGCATCTGTCCTGATTTGTTGGGAAGATGATATTTCCTATAGTAATCTACACTTTTGGCTCTTACACTCTTTCTGCCTCCCCTTACACAATGACTCTTTTTCCTTGCAAGGTGTGTGTGGGGGGGGGATGCAGTATATATGTTCCCTTTAGAGTTGAGAATTCTGTACTCTCTTATTTTCTGCATACTGGTCAGTTATAAGTCACTTTCTTAATCACCATCTCTTTTATGGTGGAACTATGGAAATTACCTCCTTTTATCCTTGAGTAATAAATACCCAGTAACCAAACTGTTCACAGACTATCTAGCCACTTAGAGCAAGGACATATGAGACAGATATGGTCTACCTTCTATGTCGCCTGGGACTATGTTGATCCTATACACAAGGATTAATACCTGTTCCTTGAGTCTGTCAAGTGCTACAGTTTCAGAGGCCCAGACAAGATCCCATCTCTCATGGAGGCCACATAATAGTGGAACAAGACTAATCAAAAGGTTGAGAGTGGATATGAATGAGAAATTTCAGAAGAGTCCTGCAGGTACCCGTTGAAGAAAAGAAACAAAATAGAGTGACAGTCGGTAGAGTGAGCAAAGCACTTCAAAGAGAAAAAATAATCGAACCCTACGAAAATCCAGGGGCTGCAAACCACAGAAGGAGGAAGAATAAATGCAAAGGCTGAGAGGCTGAAAGCAACTTGGAGGGATGAGCACCCCAGAGGCCAGGTGACACTGAAGCAGAAGCAAGCACAGGCATCTTAAGAAATCCAGCTGCTATAGCAAGGGGTTGTTATTAGTGGCACCAGAGAGGAAGAGGAACGCAATGAGGGAATAAATGATAAAGAAGGATCAGTGAACTGGGAATAGCAATGAATACATGAGCTCAGGTTTCAAGTGCAGGTGATTGACAACATTGCGCACATACATGAACAACCCAGTGGACATGTGATGGCATCCCATGCACAGCTTCCACTAAACAACTACTCCTTTGCCTTTTGTCATGAATGTCTCCTCAGCTTGTCCACTGATAAGGCTTTTTCTCTTCTCTTCTCTTTTTCTCTTTGTTCTCTTTCATCTCCAGGAGCCTTTAAGGATTCTTTCTTATATGGCTTATAGCTTCCCATTCAGTTTGCTTTTCTTGTTCATATTGATTTATTTAACAAACATTTACCAAATCACTTGTACGGTCAGTCACTATTCAGAGTATCTGAAGGACAACTAAAATGGAGTGGCTCCTGTATCCTAGGCCTTAAGGACCTTGTCAGCTAGAAGAAAGATAGGCTCCTGGCTGAAATACAGTCTGTCTCATGTAAGGTGAGTGGGGTCTAGAGAGAAATCTTCGCTGCTGTGGATCTTCCTTGCTTCGCCACCAGCACTCATGATATAGCAAGAGTCTCCTGGTATTTCTCCTTTTAGCTCTCTTCTCTGAAATCTGTTTCATACTCTGCTTCAAATTAATCTCCCTGAATCACTGCTCTTGTAAATTTCTGAGCCAAAGTATGCATCCCAAAACAGAAGCCAAATGTAGCATGAGGTCCTGGATAAGATCTTATAAGAAGAAAAGGATATCCATGGGAGAAAAAAAGACGGTTGAAAACCAGAGGTCTCCAGACTAGGGATGTTAAACCAGTACCCATTTCCTAGCAATGACTGTTTTGCTGCTGTGGTCACATAAGACGCTCCTGAAAGGAATACAAGTGTATGCTATATTCTTTCTGGAAGTTTCTGTAAGTATAATATTCACTTAAATATTAGTTAAATGTCATTTAATGTAAGTATAATATTCACTTAAATATTAGTTAAATGTCATTTAATATTAGTTTTTTTAAGTACCCACAATCATTTAAAATATTTATGGATGAGAAAAAATAGGATGTTTTCAGTGGCATTGTTTGTAATAATAAAATACCTAACATAATCCAATGTTAAACAGGAAAATGTACATAAAGTAAAATATTCATACAATAGATTCAATCAGTGGTAGAAACCAGAGGACTGCAACATCCTCCATCATCATAGGTGGGTCTCATAGAGGAGTACAGAGCCATGCAAGCAGATCTTTAGAGAATTTGTGATAGTTGAGTCTGAGATCTATGTCATGCATCTGTTTGTTTTGATTGTCCTTTTATAGAGACAAGGTCACTATGTAACACTGGCTGTCCTGGAACTCACTATGTAGCCAGGCTGGTCTTGAACTCACAGAAATCCACCTGCCTTTGCCTCCCAGGTGCTGGAATAAAAGGTGTGCATCACCATGCTTGGCTTGTGTCATGCATCTTCTGAAAGCAGAAAACAAATGCAGCAAGGGCTAGTCGCCTTTCTTTGCTGTGATGAAATAGCCAAAAAAAAACAAACAAACAAACAAACAAAAAAAAACCACAACTTGAGAGAGAAAGGGTTCATTTTTGGCTCCTGGCTTCAAGGTATCAATCCTTGCCCACTTGATTCTATCCTGTCTGGGTTTGTGGTCAGACAGAGGTGAGGAACAGCTGGTGGAGCTTAGCTGTTTATCTCATAGTAGCCATGAAGAAGAAAGGAGAGCTGAAAGATAAAACATACGCCACAAAATCACATTCACAGATTCCTCACCTGCTAATAACCCATCCAGCAGGGAACCCATCACTGATTAATCTAGTCAGGACTAGCATCCTCACAATCCAATTGCCATTCATCAGATGGGAACCAAGCCTTTACCACATTCCTCTTTAGAAGAGACATCCCATAGACAAAACCAAAGCAACGCACATGAGTAGTAAGGCAGGGGAAGAGTGACCACAACATCTGAGGTAGACTACACCTGATTAGGAAAGGCAGTGACAGAATGGAAGAGGAATGCTGAGATCTGGGTCAGGACTGCATTTGTCCCTTATCTTTCCTTCTTATGCAAAGACATTTTATTATCCTCCAGAATAAGTACTGTGCCTCGTGGTGCTAAGTAAATACATAACTCATGCATTATTCAAAAATTAATGCATACTTTGGTGCTGGCAGGCTATGTGACTTTAGGCAAGTTACTTTTCTTGATATTTGTTCTTTAACTGGTTGTGGTAACAAAATGATGAAGAGATGAAAGGGTAACTTTTCAAGCCAGAAACAAGCCAGGTTCATGACAATTATTTCTTTATTTTCCTGGCCTGAAAAGGAGAACAATCAACTAACATTTATTAAGGCAACACTATGCTGCAGAAGCAAGGCCAAGGAATCTGGATGTGTAATCCTGTAAATGATTCTGTTGTAAATGACCTGTGGATTACAGTTGAAGAGACAGAGCTCTAATGTAGCGTTGTCCCCCAGAATACAGAGGATGTATTTTTTTCAATGAAGGGTGTTTCTTCTATTATTATTTTTTCCATTTTTTTATGTTATTGAAAAAAGACCTTTTTAATGCAATGTATTCTGATCACAGTTTCCCCTCCCCAACTCCTCAAGGATCCTCCCCACTTCCTCATTCACCCGAATCCACATAGTGTAGGGTGTTTACTAATTAGTAATTTCCTGGTAACTATATAAAGGAATGAGATTTCTTGTGAGAGTTTCATACACATAACTCATTAGATGTCTTTCTTAGTCACCATCCTTCCCGACCGCCCTCCCCTGTGCCCTTTCTTTCTTTTGAGCTCCACAGAGGCCCCTCCCACTTTCATGGTCATACATTCCACTCCCCTCTCCCATCCACGTGGCCTTTTGTAGCTCCTTCCTCCCTCACAGCCTCCTTCTGCGTTCATGTCACACACACACACACACACACACACACACACACACACACACACACATCTAGATTTCACAAGATATTTATCTTCCTGGGCTTTCATTGGTATTCAGATATGACAAGACCAATAGATATGGAGGCTAATCGCATTGAGAAGATTCCCAAAGAAGTGGCCACAGGGATAGACCTGGGGGGAAGTCAGTAGGCCAAGGACCAAAAGAAGAACACAAACAGGAGCTTTCATTTGGGTTTCACTGGAGAGAACAGAGAAAGCAGGTTCAGCAGACCCAGGACAGGCTGCTTTCGCTAATTACAGTAGGTTCTGGGCAGAGAGACCTCTCCTGGTTAGGTGACATATGGCCCTGGGGTTTTTAGGGAGAACAATGGTAGCTGGAGTGGAAGGGCCCCAGGAAAGAGGCAGCTGGAGAAAGGGCTCTAGACCCGATGCTTTGTATGTGAAGACAGGATCGTGGTCAGCACTTTACTGTCTCTTGGAACAGACTCTTTGGTTGTCCTTGCAGAGCCAGTGAGAGTCCAATGTTCATATGGAAACTCAGAAATGTGGTTGTTAAAGCCAGTCTCAGATAGAACTTTACATTATTTTGATAGAGTTTTTCTTTTCTTCTTTATGTAAACAACAAAAAATTCCAATGAACTATTTTTGACACAATATATCTATGATATTAGCATTTTCAACTGATATAAGATTACTAATGAGGCACTTTAAATTACTTTTTAGTATTATATACTTGATATCTGGCATTTATTCTGTATTAAAAGTACATGTCAGTTTGAACCAGCCATGTGTGATAAGTGGCTATGTTTCAGGAAAAGGCAGAGCTGGAGAACTGCAGAAAAATTCACTGGGCTTGATGGAGACTTTGAGAAATTGCTGAGCATCTGTTAGAAGGTGGCAGCCATGTGGTTCATTAAAGTGATCTCTATTCTCACCCCTTGACCTACCCTAGCATATCCTCAGCACTTCCCTTGTCTTGCTTACAGCTCTCCCCTCACCTCATTACCATGTCCCCAACACCACTGTCATCTGCTCCTTCCCTGTCTCTCCCTATTAGTCATCTTTCCTGGCTTAGACAAAGGAAGAGGCTGCCATTGACATTCTCAAGTTTTTTCATCAAAAATCACTGCTCATAGGGCAGGGGCTACAGAATGACCTTGGACCAGAAAAAAAAAATGTTGAAAAGGTACTTCACAGTTTTACAGTGACAAGTAAAATTTGGAAATAGTAATATTGGACCCTTATATCATCTGCTATATGCATCAGTAATACGCACCCAACAGCAAATCTCCTTGGTGATCTGGAGATGAAAAATGAAAACAGATTCATTGACCCTGCTATTGTAATTTATGCATCAGCTAAAAGATCACAATTGTGTGTTTGTGTGTGTGTGTGTGTGTGTGTGTGTGTGTGTATCAACAGACCCAAGCAAGATGCCCCATGACAACCTATGTTTCCCATTTAATGTCGCCTTGATTCTAAGTCTGTTTGCCTGTCCTTGCTCTCTGTTTTTTCAGGTGTAAATATGGCACATAGAACAGTGAGGTGTGTATGGCTTTGTCCTGAGCAAGGAATCCTGTAAGTATACCCCAACCAAGAGAATCCACAGAGCTCAGTAGAGGCACCGTGGCCCCTGCTGTCTTCTTCCTGTGATTCTTATAAATAGTGGTTGACTAATGAACTTCACAGAAAATGTCAGCAGCAGCACTTCCAGGACAAAGAATTCAAGTTTCTATTTACATCTTACCAATGTGCCTTCAACCATAGATGGAAATCTGACAGTGGATGGGAATCAACTCCATAACCTAAGTAGCATGTTGAAAAAAGATTGCTGTTCATGTGTATTATTTTCAAACATTACTCCTTGTGAACACCTCATGTGACTTTCCCTGAACAGACAGAGTGATCTTGAAATTTAAATGGTCCTGAAAATTATATGTGGCTTATCAAAGAATTGCTTCAATGACACATGGGTATTATTAAAAAAGGAAAGCAAAAACTATGGCTGAGTTTCCAATCTCAATTGCTCTAGTAAGAGAGAGCAAGGCACTTCCAAACGTTTCTCAGAAATGCTCCCAGTCCATGATTTCTATTGAAATCACTAGCCTGTCTTCAAAGTGCTAGTTTATAATAGTGGAGTATGTCTGATAAAAGGCCACAACCCAGTACAAGATAGTCATTAGAGAAACATTATTATTATTTTGCTAATTAGTCAAAAATCATTGGATTTCCTGTGGCTTCCTCCTGCTGAGCAATCATTTGATCTTGCTTATGTTGACAAACACGCACGTCACCAATTCTGCCTCATTTATCATTTGACAGGGACAGTGTTTGCTTCTTCGTGTGTGAAGAAAAGAAAATTTAGGGTAAGCATGCAGGCAAGAGGAATCAAGCAGTCACTCAGCTCATTTTCTTGGTTAGCAATGAGTAAGTAAAATAGTGAATAAGCGAAAATCATTTACTGCCGGTTCTCTACCAGAATGACTTTTGAATGTTTTTTCAGGATAGTGCTAACATGGATTTCACAGTCCTTAAAAATAAGCCACGTTGGGAAACAAGGAAAACTGATGTACTTAATATTGAGAGAGAAGATATTTGATATTTTGAAAAAAAGAAAGGAAAATTATAGTGAGTGATTGGGAATGATTACTTTCTACTATTTAAACTGATATTAAATTGAACATATACTTTGCTAGAAAAAAACTTTTCTTTGGCTCTACTTGATAAAACTAAAGTAAAAAAAAATGCAATATTCTATGTAAAACAGACTTTCAAATTTAGGATGATGATTTGAACTTTCAATCTGGCTCCTTAAATTTGGTTGCTATCTTTTGTAATTAAAAAAAAATCAGTAACTAAAATAAAGTGTTTAACAACTATTTTGGGAAGATGGATTTTCTGCTAAGGACAACCACATAGGTCAGAACTTCTCAATACTTTACAATTTGGACACTCTCGCCCAGTCACAGGATCTACTGCTGGGTTGAGAGATTGTATGGAACCCGTCATTATGGTAAGGAGAAAGATGTCAAATTGGACTGATTTCAAGAAAAAGAACATCTGTACTTGGATATAGCTCAGCATCAGTGCTGGGGAAGTTGGTGGGGGGGTGCTTGCTTCCTATGAGGGTGGACTCAGGCGATCCAGCTGACAGTGGGAGTGAAGAGCTGGGTTAAAACCTCAAGGTTCAAATAAAGCGCCTTGATTCTACGCTCTCTCTTTGTAACTGCAGTGGATGAAGATTGACCTTTCCTTCTTGGCAACTGAAATAATATCATTATAACATTTTGAAATCCAAAATCCCAAATATTGGGAGTGAGCTTTAAAGAGATCCAAAATTCTAAAATATGTCAATACAGTGGTTTCCTGTGCACACTGAAAACAGTCCTAGATAAAGGATTGTCTACCGAGACATGAGAAATACAAGTCAAAGAAAATCCATCATGTACTCTTGATTCTGTTTCTAAGACACTACATTCAGTATTGTGGGTGCAATACAACTCCTGAAGCGTAAGGGTCCTTTATTAGTCATTTCAGTCTGGTTTTACATGAATCATTTTTTTTAATTTTTACTGAAGTTTATCCTGACATTCATTTGTGATTGTAGCTTGGTCTGAGGGAAACAGGACCAAACTGTTTTAAAACGTCCTTCCTCTTTCGCTGAAATCAATATTTTACAGCTTATCCTGTGTACTCATTAAATATGAAGGTTCTGAATTTAATGCTGTTCACATTCTTCAATAACTTGATATTTTTTAATCAAGTAGAAAAAAATTTAAAAAGAAAAACTAGCAAGAGTCACTGGGCAGTTTTCAAAAGGTACCACATTCTACTGCCTTGTATGTAGCCATTTTTAAAAAGCAAAGTAGTTTTCTCATATTCCTATTTTTGTTAAGATGCTGTTGACCTAAATAGAATGATTTATGTACAAAATAGCTGTTAGCTAACCAGAAATAAAAAGTTAAATTGTTTAAAGTGTCTTTTCTAAGCCATTTTAATAAATGAAAGAAACAATCCACAACGAAAAGATTAAGCAAAGTCCTCCTTTCTTATTCAGAGAATCATGTCTCAGAAAGTACAAAAACTGTTTTTTTGTTTTTAGGGGACGTTCAATGCCCCTGCAAATGGTTTCAATGTTGTTAGATGATGGAAATCTTCTCACAACATTATTTGTGTGTCTTTATTTCTAACAAAAACTGTGTAAGAAAAACAAAACGCTTGGGCCATTATCTCCCTAGGTGTCTCTCTGGGACACATTTTATAAACTCATGTTTTTAGAGATAAGATTAACTCCATAAGAATCAGATGCTTTCTTCAGAGAATGTGACTTTACAGAAAGAAAAAAAAAATCAGTATTTTATTTGCTATTTGCAAAAGAAAGATAATAAAACACTTGTTCTCATTTTAAATGGATGTCTGATATTAGCAAACAATATTCAAGACTTAACTGAAATGATTAAAAACTGTAGCTGTCTCATTAATATAGGACTTTAAGGTAATGGCAAACGGCTCATTGGTTCTTTGTGTGAATAATGTGACCAGACGATGGGGGGAGGGGAGACAGCTGAAAGACTATGGAATCGTATGCGTGGATTTCCATTGCCCAAGAGGAAAATACATAGATAGATTCTCCCTTCCTGTTTTTTCCCCATAACAATGATCTTGAAATGCTGAAATGCACCTCTCTGAGCTAGTATTCATCAACATTGATAGCTAAAATGTACCTAGAGGAAAAGATAAACAAGCAATGTGCTTATTAACTTGGATTATTAACAACAGACTGCCTAAATTTTTGTTGCATTTGAAATTACCAGGGTTATATTTTTATTCTGATTGTCACTGTTGCATAAGCCTCTTGGTGCAGTGAAAGAAGACACAGGTGTGCATGGACAGAGACACAAATTGTGCCTCTCTGACCCCATCTCTGTCATTAACATATGATTTCACATTTCCCCCTTCAACTCACATCATTGTTCCAAATCTGTGAAACTACTTTACAAACCATACCAGTTAGGGCTCATCACAACCATTCTCCCATTAGGAAATGTTCCGTTTTCTATATCCAAAAGTGCCGTCACATAGGAAAATAAAATGTCTACATAGACACTGAAGTGATTTTGGAAATGTAACTTCTTACCTATTACTTTTCCTAAGTTTTTAGAATGTTTTGTATCTCTCTCAAGAGGGCAATACATTAAAACCAGGAGAACAGAGGCTTGCAATCACATTACAAGAATACTGAATGTGCTATGCATTTTTTAAAAATACAGAAAAAGACGACAATAAGAAACCCTGAAGCATGTATATTTCAAGCAACTATGGCATGCTTTGTGAGTATGTCATGTGTGATCTACTTGTGGACAAATGTCCTGGGTAATTTCTCAACACTAATCCACCACTGCTTTTCAATAAAGATTGTGGAATATTCATTGGTTCCCCTTTCTGCCTTTTTAAAAAAAAATGTTCTGATTCTGATGGAATAGACAAGAATTCAACAATAAAATACACAGCATATATATGTAGTGTGTGATTAATGCACTTAAAGAGCCTGAGCTGATTACAGAATGGGGACATGGAGAAACATTGGCTCAAAAAGGATCTGAATCAATTTTAAGGGGGACAAAATTAAAATAAGGAGTCATGGTTTCATGTGTCTCTGGTACCATAGCATATCTTGAGGGTTAAATAGGTAGTCCTGAAGGCCCCTGCACTCTCTTCTTTTAGGAGGCAGTGTGCATGTATGTCCTGGGCCTCCGGTGGCTTTTCCCTTTGCCTGGTCTCTCTGCATCTCATTGCATCGCCCTGCCTCCCTGTGTCCAACATCAAAATCACACTCAGGCAAAAGAAAGAAACCCCTTTGCTTTGACAGCCACTGGGAATGATTGCGCCACAGGAAGATGTTGGCAGAAGTGTGGGAGGAGGGGTGCTACCTATAGTCCCTGGCAATTATCAGAGCAGGGCCCACCAAATTCTTCTCTGAGACCTAGACCCTAGGGGTAGCCACCCAAGGGAACAGCGGCATCCACAGGAAACCATTTTGTCTTGTGATTTCTATGCTAGGCATTTTTAGCCTCATTTTCATGAGGGATGGAAAAATAGCATCTCGCATTTATTCCCAGTGAATGTCACAAATGTGTTCTCAGACTAAAAGATATTCTTTTCAAGAAAAATGTTAAAATCTAAAAGCTGACAGTTAATACTTTTGTTCCATTTTAATTAAATGTCTAAAACCCTAAAGGCATCCGCAGTATTCATTCTGAGAGTTATTTATCTAGATAAACTGTTTATTAGTGTAGGTGAGAGATTATCATTTTATCACACTTTATAAATTACATGTGGCTACATGCCTGCATATCAGTGTCACCGCTTCCAGCAGACACTGTAGCTGTTAAAGAACAAAAGACAGCATCTTACTTTTTATACAACAACTTTCAGAAATATGCCCCAACATATTTAATTTACAATATAGGTTAGGTAAACAATCCTGGTGTGTGGAGAGGTCTAGCTGGATAATAATGTCATATCTAACATACCTAAATAGGCTTCAAATTGCATAAAGGCGTGCTTATACTTAAATTGAATGGCAAAGAATTAAATATATACTCACAGCCTGCACACATTCCTAAAGGCAGTGAGAGGGGTGGCCTTCCCTATAAGCAATGCAGCAGGTGTTTACATGTCTGCATAAGAGGCTGCAAGGGCTGGGAAGTCCTTGAATCCTTACGAGAATGAGAGTACATTCATGATTGGTCCAATTGATCACTGCAGTCGCTTGATATTACATAAAAGGTTGGTGTTGAAGCATATGGATTGGATAATAATCAGAGTTGTTCTGACATGGTCTATTTAATAATTCAAAAAGGAAAATTTGAAAATGATTCTGCACAAAGCTGCAGCACCCGGTTGACACTTTATTTATATCAATGCTCTTTGTGTGTTTTGCGAGCTGTGCAGATTGCCTGTTCAACAGAGTTATTTTTCTAAAGCATCAATATTCCAAATCACTATCAGCAAACAATCAGATGCATCACCTGTCACCGTGGAAGGGCTGAAACCTTAGCGTCTCTGTACAGGGATGTAGCAGAAATTAACTGGCAAAAAAAAAAATTCTATTTCTGTGTGTATTGACAGTGCAACAGAAGACTAGGCTAAAGACTCCATGGACATGATCAGTCACCCTGGAAAAATTACTCCTTGGTAACGTTCATTTGAGCAGACTTGCAGTACTGAATAAATCCTTTCTGTCTATTCACTTGAAAAATACAGGGACAAAAACAGATATAACTGTATTCTAATCTCACTGGTGACCATGGAATAGAACTGCTTCCATGGATGTAAGAGACAGGCATTCATGGTTCCAGACACCAAGCTCAAAATTGTTAAATTCTTAAAATATGATGTTTTTCCTGCATGTAAGTGTGTGCGCCAACTGTAACTGATACCCATGGAGGCCAGAATGGCTCGGATCTTTTGGAGATGGAGTTATATACAATTGTGAGGTGCCATGTGGGTGCTAGGAATCAAACCTTCTGGAAGAGCAGCAAATGCTCTTAACTGCTGAGTTATCTCTCCAGCCCCAACCATACCCTGCAAACGACCCTAAGAATGAAGAAAGAGAGGGCAGCAAATGTATCCACATTCTCAGAGGGAAGAACCCTACTATACTTAAGATTTGCACTAGTGTGTGCCTTAAACATCACCCCTTTGACTTCCGGTGTTTTTTACTATCTGTGGAGCTCATTTCCCAAACTATGACATGCAGCTAGCACTGAGAAATAGTGTACATTTTCATTTTGCTTTCTTTAATGAAACAGATGATTCAGATGCCTCCATGGAATTGTTCAAATATGCTTTATAAATGCTAAATGTTGTCAAGGATTTAATTCATCGAGACCAAAGTCAATCATTGCTAAAGTTCAGCAGATAAATTCCTCTACATTGTACTTGTACAGATAGCTGCATGTTGACTCCTAAAGATAATTACAACATATAACCCCTTCATATGGGTGCAAGTTTGCAACACAGAAGAGCAACACTAATAAATGAGGTTCTTCTATCATAACCTGTAAATAACACATTCTGCAACATGCCATTTTAAATGCTAGATTGGGGACTGAAGAAATAGTTCAGCAGTTAAGAGGTTTTCTGGTCTTCTGGGAGACCTAAGTTCAGTTCACCTACAGCATGCATGTAGGGTGTCTCATATCTGCCTGTAACTCCAGCTTGAAGGTATCTAATGTCCTCTTCTGGTCTGTGGGAGCAAGTACATATGTACAGTACACATACACACACACACACACACACACACACTAAAAAAAGAAAAAGGAATGTATAAAATAAAAATAATAATGTATTACTAATAATGTATTATATAGTAATAAAAATAACAATAATGGATTTTTAATCATAAAAATATGAATTTTTATGTTGCATAAAATTAGAAATGTTTGCTGCATTTTTTCAATATTCTGCATTCTATCCTGGTAGGAAGTAGTACATAGAACGAAACCATCTCTGTAGCCTTGGAATGAACTGAAGTCAAGAAGTATTGCCCTCATCTCTTAGCAGAAGCTTGAGACTGTCGAAGGTTATGTTTTCTGATAAACAAGACAATTTTAAGATCACTTTCTCCTCTGTAAATGACTCCAAGCAAGACACATTACAACCAATGTGAAGGAGACTTCTAAATTGAAAACAAAACAAGTTAGCTGATAGAAAGTGACATAGATGGGTGAAAATCATACATTCAGGAAAATTTGTCTTCTCTGACATAAAAATTCTTGGTTCCAATACCCAAATATCACATGGCCCATAGATAATATTGTCTGTACAGTCAACATTTGAGAATAGGCAGTATGAATTAGGATGCAAATTTAAAATTTTTCAACATTATCCTTCATTGAAACAATGTCTATGTATCTATAGTTTATATATTCAGCATGATAAGCTTCATAGCATCCTTCTGTGCTCATAAGAAGAGGTTAAGTCTAGGCCTCAGAATAAATACAGCCAATTTTCTTTTCAAGCACTTTCTTCCATGCTGACCAGTTCCAGCTGGTTCCATCATGTCCATGGAGAGGTGCTCTTTGATTTAATGAAGACATTCTGGGCAGTTAATGAACAAAGTAGGTTAGGTAGGTGTGACATTAACATAAATCAAGAAGGGTTAGAGCCTGAAATCATAAGTTCCACATTTTATTGATGCTCAAAACTGTTACCTCCTGATAAAAAGTATAATCAAAGAATAACATGAAGGTTTAGAGGCAAGGAAAGACCACATTATCCGTATATAGGTGACCTGTACTCTGGAATCTGGATGCTCATGTCTAGCTAACAGGAACTACTGATAAATCTTTCTTGATCCATGCTACCAACACTCTTTGGTCATTGTGAGAACACACCTAGTTTGTTATGTTTGTCACTTTAATGAGTAAACGTAAATAGACTAAATGGCCTATAGTGGCTTGTTTCATATATGTTTATAGTATAATTTCATTCCCCAAAGTATTTTACAAGGTAAGTATCATTAGTCTATGTTGTAGTATGAACCCAAAGCCTAGAGAAGGAAACAGTAACTTCAATTCAGACTTTTGATGAAGAGATAAAACTTAGTTTTAATCCTAATGCTTCAGAATCCAAATTTCATGAATTAGCCTATCTTAGTTAGGCTTTTATTGCCATGAAAAGACACATAAGCATGGCAACTCTTATAAAGGAAACCATTTAATTGAGGCTGGCTTCCAGGTCAGAGGTTTAGTCAGTATCAGCATGGCAGGAAGCATGGAGGCACACAGACAGACATAGTGCTGCAAAGGAGCTGAGAGTTCTGCATCTGGATCCACAGGCAGTAGGAACTGACTGCCACACTAGGCATGCTTGAGCATCTGAGACCTCAAAGCCCACTCCTGGTGACTTCTTCCAACAAGGCCACACCTGATCCAACAAGGCCATATTTCCTAATAATGCCACTCCTTTTGGGCCTTTGTGAGTCACTTTTATTCAAACTACCACATGCTACTCCCTGGCCCCCATAAGCTTGTAGCCATATCACAATGCAGAATGCATTTAGTCCAACTTCAAAAGTTCCCATAGTCTATAACAATCTCAAACTTGTTTAAAAGTCCAAAGTCTCTTCTGAGACTCATGCAATCTCTAAATTATAATCCTCTGTAAAATAAAAACAAAAAACAGAAGACATAGTTCCAACATATAATGGCATGGGATATGCATTTCCATTCCAAAAGGATAGAAAGGGAGCGTAGTGAGGAAATACTGGAGCCAAGCAAGACCCCAAACCAGCTGGGTAAACTCTAAACTCTGCATCTCCACGTCTAATGTCTACATATTCTTCAAATCTCCACCTCCTTTCAGCTTTGGTGGATGCCTTGTATTTTTTCTCTTGGGCTGGTTTCACTCCCTGTTAGCATCTTTCCTTGGTAGCTATTCTATGGCTCTGATATCTCCAGTATTTGGGGGTCTCCAAGGCAATCCAAGCTTCACCTTCACAGCTTCACACAATGACCTCCCCGGACCTCCATTCAGGGACGGCTCTGACAGAGGCCTAGCTTCAGCAATTCTTCTTAGTGGTGGAGGGAGATTCTGTAACCCCTTCCTTCTGTCCTTGACTCTACAACCAGAAACACATGGCTGAAGCTGTTAAGTTCTGCTACCTGCTGGGCCTAGAAAATGGTCCTCTCCTTCAATTACACCTTCAATAACTTTCTGTTTTCCATGGGTTCCTTCACTGCCTAAGCTTGGCTGTCCTGGCACTTGCTCTGTAGACTGATCTGGCCTTGAACTCAGAGATCTGCCTGCCTATGCTTCTGGAGGGCTGGAATTAAAGGTATGTGCCACTATGCCTGGACCTAAGTTGTTCTTTAATTCCTTTTCACAAGTTGGAAACTTAGCTGGAAAGGGTCTTGCCTTGAAGTCACCACTTCCTTTATTCCATCTAACATCAGGCTTTTTTTTTTTTTTTAAATCTGTTAAATCTCCTAGAACACAGGATTTATCTATATTCCATTTTCTGGTGCCCCTTTTCTCCTTGTATTTTGTATTTTTCCTTGGTCAGCCTGTTCTTTTACATAAGAGTGAACACTAATAGCCACACGACAGAATCAGTTTTGAAATCTCCTCTGCCAAGAGAATTAATCAAATACTCTTCAATTTAGCCTCAGGCAGATTTTTCAGACAAGGGCAAAAAATCAGCCACATTCTTCCCCCCAAATAACACAGGAATTGTCTCTAGGTCACATACTAACATTCTTCTCCTCTGAAACATCTTGAGCTGGGCCCCTATAGTTCAAATCACCCTCAGCACCACTGTTTTCCATGCTCCTGCTAGGATGGCCCATTAATCCCCATCTAAAGTGTTCAACTGCTGTTCTAATCCAAAGCCTCAAAGTCCACATTCCTCCAAACAAAAGCATAGTCAGGCCTACCATAGCAATACCTCAGCCCCTTGTATTAACTTCTGTCTTAGTTAGGGTTTCTATTCTGTGAAGACACACCATGACTACAGCAACTCTTATAAAGGAAAACGTTTAATTGAGGCTAGCTTACAGGTCAGAGATTGAGTACATTATCAGCATGGCAGGAAACATGGCTGCACAGAAGCAGACATGATGCTGGAGTGGAGCTAAAGTTCTACATCTGGATCCCCAGGCAGCAGGAAGTGACTGCCATACTGAGCATGACTAGAGCATCTGAGACCTCAAAGCCTGCCCCCAGTGACTACTTCCTCCAACAAGGCCAAACCTATTCCAACAAGCCACACCTCCTAATAGTGCCACTCACTATGGGTCCACAGGGGCCAATTTTATTCAAACCACCACATAGCCTCAACTAAACTGCAGATAATAGATGAACAATGCACATGTTATAAACATAACTGGTCCTCACCTGTTTTTTAAAAAAATCCACTCTATTATCTAATTATTGTTTCTAATAAGGACTAATTAGAACAATCTTGGTAATGAGAATCTATTATGATTTACAAAAGTGAGTCTGTATATTATAAAATACCATACAAATATGATAGAAGTGGTTAAAGAATTTTCCAAAAATTTCTAAATCCTTGTTCCCAAGACCAAAGCCAAGAACTTGGTGCTTATTTCATTGTATTCCAGTATGCTTCAGTAGGTGTGCATCTCAATGGAAGGGCTATGTATTCAAACGGCCCTTCTTGTTAGTCTGTCTTCTCAGAAATGCAGAATTTTAAAAATCTTTTCTTTTACCCATAAAAGTATTTATAGATCTTGCTTCTTCTAGACCGATGAGAAACATATAGGGTCACTCATCTGAAAGCCCTTTCAGTTCTCTAGCAGCCATAGTACAAAGATTTCAGAAGTGAATCTCAATGTGTTATACACATACATATGTTCCCGGAAATTTTAACAAGTATGTTTTAGAAAAAGAATGAGCACTCGTTACAGGAATACATGGGTATTTAAAGAAAAAACATTGTCAAGCATTTTTATAACTTCAAACATAGTGCTATGTACATTAGTGAAAAGGGCAGAAGCTTCCTAATGGGAAGTCCTGCATTTCAGACTTTTGCCACTTACTACCTATTAACCTTCAGCAATCGCCACTTGAATGTCAATTCCAGTCAAGTCTCATCCTGACTTGGATGCCAGAACTCCTTTTTTCACATGATTGCTTTGAGAATCTATGAAAACAACTCAAGGAAAAGTAGACTATAATTTACAAACATTCGATGAAGTCTAAAATATAAATACTCTTTAATCAATATTTTTGTACACTCAGATATTACTTAAATTATTTCCTCATTAAGAGATCCAATTCTTCTTTTGAAATGAAATAAGTACCTGCAAGATCATAAAAAATACTCTTGATTGATGTGATTCCTACATCTATCTACAACCTCTGCTGTTTCCTTTTATATTTCTTGTCTATTATCTTCACAGTATTTACTTGAAAATGCCCTTTAAAATATAGGTTTCTGGATTATTGGTTTGAGCCTACAAATTCTGACCTGTGACAATTTGGAAAATTTTGTGTGGTTTCTGATCACCCTGAATCATTTATTAAACACTACCAGTCCCTCTGTTCCCTTGTGTCATAAATGTCTAAACTCCTACCAGTCTGGGCCCAACATGCAACTTCATGCAGTGTCCTCACAGAAGATCTTACTGGACCAGTTTCCCATGAGCATAAGGACCACAGGCACCACACAACCGTCTTCCTGTTTTGTGGTCTCATGTCTGCACAGTCTCAATGTCCTCCTTTCTATACAGAACAAATCTCAGACCTATCCCTTTGTTTCCGAGAAATGGCTTCCCCTACTACTCTCAGTCCCTGAGCACCTTTGTTGTCTCACTTCCCAGCACTTTTCAGCACTTCCCACAAATACTGATGATGTCACATAAAATAACTTTTACATACAGCTCTAAGTGTATACACTCCTATCCTTATTATATTCACACTTATTTGCAGCCATTTTTCTGCCTCTCCATCTAGGCTCTTAGCTCTCTCTATAAGGGACTATCTCTGATGTGTTCATAACTAGAATCTCACTCCATCCCTAAATATTCAGTAAATACTATTATTGGAATTAAGAAGAACAAATAGGATTTAAAGGGGAGTCTGGAAAGCACAAAATATTACAGATAATTGTAGCTTTACACCGATTTTCAATGAAGTTCTATTTTGGTACTTACATTTACAAACATATTTTCTCCTAGTCTTTCTGAGTACCTGAAAAGAGGAGAAAACTAAACAAGGGGAAAGGAAGAGATGAAAACAAACAAAACAAAAATTAATTTGATGGTCAATATTTAGATTGCATGGGGTTTACTGATAACATTTGCTGTTTTCTCCTAGGAATTACTAAATAGTGTATTTATTTACTATATTAAGTAGAAAGTCAATCCTGGCTTCGTGATTGTTATGTATTAGCAAGAAAAAACTGGAAAAAACCTAATATAATAAAAGAAATTTTAAATGTAGTGGAATTTCTGAACATATATAAACACAATTTTGTTCTTTTGCAATGCTTTAACAGATTGGACAGTTGCTTATTGGCCCAGGTATGAAAATCAATAAAAATCCCCTTTGATCCCTATTAGATTTTAAAGTACTTCCCAATCTCTGATTGGAATTAAATAAAAATCCAGAGCGGGTGGTATATGCCCTTTTCTATGTACAATAAAGAAACCCACCAAATGGCACAATAGACCTTAATATTATGGGGAAACGCATCTGCCATTTGGTCCACTTTCATTCTGATGAGATGGTTTGGGGTCAGCGCACAGTTGCAGCTCCTAAATGCAAATCACGGCATGATCCCAGCACATGGAATTACATCAGCGCTCTTGATGAGAGAACAGAATCAATACAGAGGTCAAAAGTGCACTGCTGTGAGGAGAGCCACAATCAGGCATGGGGATTCCCTAAGACTGCAATTCCCCTGATGGAAAGGCACAGTTGCAAGAGCTTTCTTAATGTAGAGAGGCTACCTACAGGCCACGAAAGGGCTGGCTGACAGAGGGTTTATCTCTCTGCACACTCATCTCTGTACCAACTTGATTGGATTATGTTGTGGAGTTTGCTAACAAAATGCTGACATATAAGACAAAACTTCCAGAAAATCAATACCAAATAATTGCCTATGCCATGCTGGAAGATGAAAGTGTCCTGCATATTACCCATCTTCAGTTCTAGAGTGGAACAAGCCATGAAGCCCAAGGAACTGAGCTGTTCTTATTGTGCATAATATACCTTTATATACCAGCAGGCAGCACAAATCATTTCCTTCCCCACTGTTCAATACACAGTGATTTCATCTTCCCTATACTCATTTTTTGTCCCAGACTGATGCCCTTAAACACTATGCACCTGTCAGATCCTGGATATCCCTTACCTGGCAACCAAAGGGAGTACTTACAAATGAATCTTTTGTTCCCACGGTAAATGTCTCCTTGTGGTGGTGCAGTTTGATAAGTTTAAGAAATAGAGCACAATATCAACCACACTGTATTTTCCATAAAATGCTGTCTGACAGAATGCACTGCTCAATTTATTTTTATACTGAATGGATCAGCGATGAGGCGAAACAGATACCAGAGGCCCATTGTTATTTGAAATGCTTAGGAAAAATGATTTTTGTACCCAGCAATATTAAAAGCCAAAATATCAAACCAATTATCAATATAACACATATGTTTCCTTACACTTCAGTGGCCAGAGTTGTTCTGTTGTATAACTTTGCCCAAACACTAAGTAATCCTTTGCATTCATAAGCTTAATTTGCCCCTCCTCCACTAAGGAAAAGAAAAGAATATTTATCTTTCGGGTCATAGCTGTGTGTCTACTATGATTTGGTTCCAAAATGTGATTTCAAGCTTAAAGAGCAAAGCAATGACCTAGGAAAAAGGGAGTTTAGTTGTTAAATTTATGACTATAATTACTACTTTATATACTATCATTTTACTGCTGTTTTAAGAAGAAAATAAATATCTGAAAATATTTTTAATATACATGATTATTTGAAACTCCTTTGATGCTAAGTCTTACCAACCTCATCCATTCCAAAGATAGTGTACCCCTATTTATAGGAATATTCACCATATAGTCATTTAAAGGTGCGGTCATAGAAAAGGAACAGGAGCAGAAAGGAAGCTAGGACTGAAAAGAAAATATGTCAAAGTGCTTGTGTGAAACTGGCTTGGACAATAAAAAAGAGGTGAGTTTACAATAACTGATGCTGAAAGGCATATTCAAGTCCTTAGGAGTATGTTAATTTTACATAATTGTTCCTTTGCACTTTATGACAGATACAGAGGCCCTGTTAATGTTATTCCAACTCCATCTTTAATCACAATAATTCAGTAACATGTTGAAATTGGAAGATGAAAGACTAGTGCTTTATTTACATAAATATAAGCAATAAATGAGCAATTCCTGAATTGAACCAAATCAATACACACTGCATTATCGTGTTGACCTCTCTATCTTGAAGGTCATTAAATGTGTGAATCCTCAGAGTAATATGCCATCAAAATCAGAGTCAAGTCTCCATGTCTCCAGGGATATTTTCAACTCTCCTTTATCTCCTGTCTGAGGCTGGTTGATGAATATGTGACAACGTTATTTAGAGGGAATGCAGCACTTGTAACCAAAAAAGATGGTCACCTTGGTGATCCATTCAGAGGATATAGCTGGAAAAGGTTATTTAGTATGTTCCTATTCACCACAGAAGCGAACCACAAATGGGAACACTCTTACTTTTCAGCATAGCATCCTGACATGAAAACCAAGCATATAATTTAATAACAACCAGAAACTTGGCTCAGGTAAAAACATCACATCCCCAGCAACTCAGTAAGATTTTCCCTTCTGCCAACAAATTGTGCCTTTCTGGCAGGATATTACAAACTTGTGAAGAATTACATTGGTTTCGTGTCCTTATTAATAACCCATGATGCAAGCAATTATTTAACATTATCTCAAACTGCCTTAAGAAATTGGATCAGCTTAAAGATATAGAAAGAAAAGAAATTACAATTCTAGCAACTTACAAGAAAAGAAGGCAAAATTACTGTTATATGACTAAATCAAGATTGCTTTTATGGAGAAATCCTGATTTTTGTAGGGGATTATGTTAGCCACTGTCCAAATCAGGATAAAATAAAATTAAAAAATACATATTGACTCACTACCAATTCGAACTATTAATTAGAACAAGAGTTTCAGGATCATTTACTCTTTGAAGGAAATGTATCATCTGATGGCATACTAACAAGCTAAGATAGCAAGGAATAAAATGATTCACGGGGGAAGTTCTCCCTTAAAAAAAATGGAAGAAAAGACACACCAAAAAGATGTTTCCCTATTTTATCCACAAAGCAACTTGGGAAGGAGTTCACCTTTGAAAGCTAAATCATCTAAGTTAAGAAGAAAATACTCTGGATTTATTAATATGTGGAAACTAAACAATAAACAGAAGTTTCAAAGCAAGAAGGGTATGAAAAAAATGTTCAAAAGCAAAAGTTTTTCCTAACAAAAAATTAAGAATACATTCCTTTAAATATTAGACATTTAAATTACAGATTTTTTGATCAATTTTAGGTGGAATAAGATAAGTAGAGTTTTTCATTTTTAAAATAATTATTAAATTATAGAAAAAATAATATAGTATCTGGAATTTGCTTTAAAATAAAAAGTGAGGTTTTATATTTTTGAACTAAAGTAATAATGAACTGACAACTGTTCAAGCTTTTAGCAACCAAGGTCATGAGTTCATTATACTCTTCTATGTACTTGTACATGATTGAAATTTATACGTGTGTACATATATTGTACAGTTTTAAAATGTATATACGTTATATGCATGAGCACACATATGGAAAGATATGAGTATATACTATCATATATAAAGGTATTATACACATGTGTGTATATAGGTACATATACATATATGAATGTATGTGTGTATAATATACATCCATACTGATTAGACTGTGAAGCAGGTTTATGTGCACCCAACCCTGCGTGTTAAACTCTTCACTTTTGTCAACCTTGCTCAAACATTTTCCCAGGTGACTCATTCTTCAGTCACCATAGATTAGGCACTAAAGCTAGGTGTTGGAGGTATAGCAATCAAAATTAGGTTTTTGCTTGCACAGAGCTTACATCCTAGACAAGGAGACAGACATTTATCAAACACATAAAGAATAAGCAGGAAACTTAGCAATCGAGATTATACCCTGAGAGAAACAAAGGATATAGAGAAACTGAAAAAAGGGTGCTTTGGGGAAATGATCACAACACCTCTTTTTAAAAAGAGGGTGTAAAAGCAAGCCTTGAATGATAGCATCAGGATACCTATGAGAGCCTGGGAAAGTACTTAAGAGAGGCCCTCAAGCAAGCAACCTTACTTGGGGATAGCATGATTTGGGCAGGGAACCAAAGAAAGTCAGTTTTATTTGAACATGCACAGACCACACTTAGAGACAGGTTACACATGTAGCATGAAGTGAATAGCATGTACCTGTGTCTTCATTTGCATATATTTGCACATAACCAAAATACACACCTGTATATATCTCCTATACATATATGCACATATCCTACACACACACATACACACACACATATACACACATGTATTCAAATACAGCTGTATACAGTAATAGTGTAACCTGCAAAAATATACAGACCACTCCCTGCTAACAATGGAGACAGCTGCTGGAAAGGAAACAATGGTGGCAGCCCGGGCTTGTCATTTCCTTCAGGAAAGCTGTCCTACAGATAAATATACATTTCTTCTGGCCTTTGCCTTGTAGTTTTCTATAAACATTAAGAAGATTCAATAGGTTTAAAATCAGAGCAAATGAAGTTGGAGGAGATGGGGAGGAAATAAGGTATATTTAATCAAAATATGTTATATGCATGTATGGAATTCTTAAACAATAAAATAGTAGGGTATACATATACCCACTTTTAAAATAGAATGAAATGTGCTATTAGAACCAAAATCGTATTGTCTGCTACTGGAAACAAAGCTAAGGGGCGTCCCCCAGGAATAGCTAAAGGACTGGAAGCCATGGGGGAAACTCCATAGACAAGCTGGAAGACTAGAGTTTCTTGTTTATGCACCCACGACAGCAGCAAACTGTGAGCTCCTAACATCAGAGCTTTGTTTCTTGATGCCTCCTTCGCCTGAATTCTTAAGAGTGCTGAACACAAAGAAATACTGGTTGTATTGTCGAGTTGCTAAAAAACATTAAATGGATGCCTAGATTTTGTGGTTCCAATCAATTTCATATATTTACAGAGCAAGAGGATTGATTTTCAAATACAGAATTTCAGATTAAATTAGTCTATTTAAATAATATGTCTCAGTAAGCCCATACCTAAAAACATGTGTAGGCCCCTCCCAATTATTTTTTGAATTGCTTTCTTTTTTCTTTTAAGCTGCTTAGATTTACTAACCTACACTTATTGTCTATAGAAAAATGAAAATCCCAAGCCAGTCACAAACCCTTTGATCTACAATGGTGCTGTGCTTACAAGACATGCTAGTGCAATGTTGGCGCAAACTTTGTGGGAGTCACCAATCAATACCTGATTTGATTTAAGGGCCACTCCACAAGATGGAATCCATACCCAACACTGCTTGGGTTACCAAGAACCAGAGACTACACAGCGCAGGGACAGGGACCTAGGGGAAAACCAAATACTACTGTTCTAAACATAAATAAATAAATAAATAAATAAATAAATAAATAAATAAATAAATAAATAAATAAATAAATAAATAAAAATAAATAATAAATAAAATGGACCAATAAAATCACACCTAATAACATTCTGCTATACTCATAGATCAGTGCCTTGCTCATTCATCATCAGAGAAGCTTCATCCTACAGCAGATGGGAACAAACACAGAGACCCACAACCAGACATTATGCAGAGAGTGATACTTTGGAACACTGAGCCCTAAATGAGATGTTTCTATCAAATCCCTCTCCTCAGAGCTAAGGGAACCAACCCCACAGAAGAGGAGGCAGAAAGAGAGTAAGACCCAGAGGGAATGGAAGTCACCAAGAAAACAAGGCGCTATAATCCACATGATCAAAACTCATGTGAATTCTCAGAGACTAAAGCAGTATGTACAGGGCCTGCATAGGTCTGCATCAGACCATCTGCATTTATATTATGGCTTCCAGCTTAGTGATTTTTAATGGGATTCCTGAGTGTGCAAATGAGTGGGTCTCTGATTACCATACCTTCTCATGGGCTCTTGATGTGTTAGTTTTTGTTTTCTTAATAATTTTATTTTTTATTATATTTATTTTATTGAATCCCCTTAGAAGTCTGTTTGGGTTTTTCTTTCTGCTGCTGCTCTTTATTTGTTTGTTTGTTTTTTGAGACAGGGTTTCTCTGTGTAGTGGTGACTATTCTGGAACTCACTCTGTAGACCAGACTGACCTTGAACTCTGATCTACATGCTTCTGCCTCCCAAGTACTAGGATTAAAGACATGTGCCACCAACACCTGGTGCCTGTTTATTTTCTCATGAGAGACAGACAGAGATCATATCTAGATGGGAGGAGATGTAGGAAGAAACTAGGAGGAGTAGAGGGTGAGGAGTAGAAGGAGAGAATCAGTATATGCAATAAGTGTCTATTTTCAATAAAAGGAAAAAATTAAAATTAAAACAATTAATTAAAATATGCATTATGATGCAAATTAGCCTTTTTCTTTGCTTTTCTGTTGTGATAAAACACTGAAGAAAAACTTCTAGATCACAACCTATCATTGACAGTAGTCAGGAACTCAAGGCAGGCACCTAAAGACAAGAACCCAGAGGAGAAACCATGAAGAAACATTGCTTACTGGCTCACTCACTGGGTTCTGTTCAGTTAGCTTTCCTATACAGCCAAGACCCAGCTCCCTATGAATGGTTCTACTCATAGTGGGCTGATGCCTCCTGCATCAATTAGCAATCAAGACAATGCTCCATAGACATGTCCACAGGCCAATCTGATACAGACAGTTCTTCAATTGGCATGTCCTCTTCCCAGATGACTCTAGGTTGTATCAAGTTGACTGATGGTAAAGCTAGTCAAGACACTGTTCCTTTTCAACTTGACACAAAACACACTACTGTTAAATCATAACTTTCTTGTCTGATCTCAAGAGCTCATGCTAATATAATCTTAAATAGAGGGGGGAAAGTTCTCACAGCATTTCAAATTTTCAACACTAAAAGTTCAGAGTCTATGATACCCTTAATCTCATAGAGAAGAAAGTAGAAGATAAAATTCAACTTATAAGCATAGGAAAGGACTTTCTGAATAGGGTTCTGATAGCACAGTAATTAAGACCAACAAACGACAAATGGGACATCATGAAACTAAATCTTCTATACAGCAAAGGACACTATTATTGGAGTGAAGCAGCAAGCCTGTAAAATAAGAAAAAAAAATTGTCAAATACACATTTGATGGTGTGTTAGTATATAGAATGTACAAACAGTTCAAAAACAAAACAAAACAAAAAAACAAGCCTAAATGTCAAGAAAACAAACACCCCCCTTATAATTAAGGGTATTATGAAATAGAGTTCTCAAAAGAAGAAACAGAAATGGTCTAGAAATATTTTTAGTGTTCAAAACACTTAGCCATCAGGGAAATGCAAATTAAGTCTATTTGAAATTTCTTCTTACTCTAGTTAGAATACCTATAGAGTGATCAAAATGTGCACAAGGTCAAGCCAAACAAAGTTCTAACATGGAGAGGGGAGGTGGACACAAAGTCCTGCCTCTAGCTGAATAGCTGATAGCAGGTGATAGCTTCTAGAAGAGGGAGGGTCTGTTTTTCTTAAGGATTTGGAAGACCACACATCTAAGAATATATAGGTAGCACAAATTGCATTTGGTGTATTCAAGAAAGGAAAAAAAAAGAGGACAAAGTGTGGAAGGTTTGGAAGAGGAAGTACGGATCTGAGAAGAGGTAGAGATGAATATGACCAATGCATTGTACAAAATTCTCAAATAACTAATAAACATTTCTTAAAAGTTAAGAAGCAAATAACAACAAATGTTGCAATGGATGTGCAGAAAGAGGAACAATTATTCACTATTGATGGGGGTGCCAGTGGTACAGAAACTGTTCAAAATCACTGAGGCGTTTCCTCAAAAATCTATAAACAGAGCACCACATGATCTAGATATACCACTCTTGGACATACACCAATGTATGGACTCTATCCAAACATAAAGATATTTGCTCATCACATTCATTGTTGCTCTATCCACAACAGTCACAAATTGAGAACAGCCTAAATGTTATCCAAAACCTGATGGTTGAATAATGAATGTGGTACTTTCACATCCAGAAAAGAAATATTACAATTTTTTTACATTTTAAATGAATTTTAAAATTAAAAAATTATAAAAATTTTCAGGTAAATGGATGGATCTGAAAGTAATCATTCTAAGAGAGGTAGCCCAGAAACGTAAAGACAAACATCACGTGTTATCTCTCATAGGTGGATGCTTGCTTTGAGTGTTTAGATACATTTTTAAATTGAGATACCCATAAATGTCAAGAAACTATGGAAGGGCTATGGAAATGGCTTGTAAAGAAGGGAAGATAGGACACTAGTGGAATAAAGGGCATCTGGGGGCAGTGGAACAAAAAGGATTGAGTAGGATAAGGGATGTGAGGACAACATAGAGGAGAACATGGAGAGGAGTAGTGAACACTGAAGACCTTTGAAAACTTATGGATCCTAAAATATATACGTATAGAAAACCAGTTTAAATGGTTCCAAATAACAGGGGCAACACACCTCCAAGATACCAAAGGCTTTCAAATAAGAATCCCAGTGCAAGAAATGGATTGCTTGTTGGTTGGTGGTGTCCCATGAAGCTTCATACATTACAGGCTATTTCCAGTGCTCTTGGTTACACCCCAGAATGAGACAGTGAGACCCTATTGCTAAAAACAGCACATCCTTGAGCCACAGGATGTGGAGAAATTACTTGAGATTCTTGTTAGCTTTCACAGTACAGGAAGGTGCTATGCACGTGTTTACCAGAGGAGATAAGTAAACACCAGATTTGTCCAACTGTGAACCCTGCAAGTTCAACAATGACCAGAATGGCAAGGAATGTCCACTGATGCAACAGTGGAAGAAATGTTATGGGAGGAACCAACCACTTTCTGATTAGGTTTAAGACTCACACCACAAGATGGAGCCTGGCACCATTATGAGTGTCAAAAACCTGTGCCTAGATTCATCATAGGCCTTAGGGAAAAACCTACTACTATTATTCAGTCAAGTAGACATTGTATTAAACCAAGTCTTAATGAGTAATTAGTACATCTCTCAAAACTCATCAGATAAGTTTCTTTCTGCAGTAGACGGAGATTACCACAGACACTAACATTTGGTCAATATGCAAGGATAAGTGATTGCCCAGCTCAGCATGGGACATTTATGTCACTCCCTATCCTCCCAAGGCTCAGGCATCATTGCTGAAAGAGGGCAAACATGATGATCAGAGCCAGAAGTAGGGGATGACTACAAGAGTACAGTGGATTTGAACAGGACAGTTGCACATATGAAGCCCCAGCAGCTATGACAGCATACACAGAACCTGCCCAAGATTAAAACAGACATAATCCCAGCATGGAGGAGCAAGGTAGTCACAAAGTCCCACCCCTAGGTGAGAAGCCCTTGGTAACAGATGGCTGCTGGGGAGAATCAGTTTTTCTTTAGGTACACAACTACTGAGAAACAGTTCGTGCTCCGGCAGATGATCCTACATCCAGGATATACTTACAGCACTAAGTGGACTCTTTGGGTTCAAATTAAAAACAAAAAAACCACAACACTTGAAATTGGGAGGGAATTTGGTGGGGATTAGGGGACTAATTGAAGGGGAATGAAAGTAGGGTGGATTTGATCAAAACACGTGATATGCATGCATAGAATTTTCAAACAACAACAAAAAGTCCAAGGCTTCTTTAAAATCCAAAGTCTCTTGATTGTAGACTCTTCTAAAATAAAGAAAACAAGTTACATAATTTTTATTCAAAAAGTTCAAAAGCAGAGTATGGGGACAGAAAGATTAAAACATAATCCAAAATCCAGCAGTGTAAATCACCTCCTAGAGCTCAATGTCCAGCATTTGGAACTCACTTTATAATCTAGCTCCAAAAGGCTTGGGCAATTCCATTGCTCCAACTCTGCCACAAGCAATACACATGGCTGTGGCTTCTGCGTGCTGACCTTATTGTCCCAATGAAGCATAATTTCATTTGCTTCAATGATGCTGATCTCTTGCTAATTACAGCTGATTTTTCAGCCCCAGCTGAACAGCTCCATTGTCCCTGTTGTATCAGTCAGCCTTTTCTAAAGGAATTGAATTGATAGAATGAATACAAACACATGCGGACGCACGCACTCGCACACACACACACACACACACACACACACACACACACACACCACGGAGTCAGGGAGTGATTTGCTACACCAGTTTTAAGAATGTGGTCCAGGTAGTCCAACAATAGCTTGGAATGTCTCACAATGGAAAGACTGGGAAGCTATCTGGTAGTTGCTCAGTTCAGGAGTCTGGATGTCTCAGCAGTCTCAATCTGGAGCTGGAGTTCTGTGGGGTTGAAGGAGGGATTCCTAGACAGCTGCTGATATTCAGTCTGTGTTGGAATCATGAAAAATTTGGACTTGATAACAGCTGGGTCAACAGGATAAATAAACTTTAAAATGAGAATGAGGGTAAGTAGGCAAAAGGCCAAGTACTCTTCTTCTGAGTCCTTTTATTTGGGCTGTCAGCAGAAGGTGTGGCCTGGACTTAGGGTGGGCCTGACATCTTCATATAATATGATTAAGATATTCCTGTTAGGAGTGTCCAGCATCTTAGGTTTTCATTGGTTCCAGATGTAGACAAGTTGATGACCAAGATTAGCCATCATACCTTTGAAGGTCAGGTTTTACTTCAGTAGTACTGGTCTCTGGTTAATCCCAACTGAGTCTTCAGCCCCAGCTGACCAGAAACCACAGATTACTAATTTTTGAGTTAATGAATTAATTTGAATTTTAAAATGCATTCCCTTTTACCTCTTCTTAATATATTAATAATATTAATATTATTAATTTAAAAAGTATCACATAAGCATCCTATCAATCTTTGCCTCCCTTGGAACCCTCACAAGCCAGGCCTTCACTGTCTGCATTAGTCTCAGCATTTTTATCCTCTATGTTCCCATGGGATGTCCTATTAAGCTTGAAGTCCCAATGGCTTTCCCAGCTCTAGCTTTCACAATCCTCCCCCAAACACAACACGATGACATTGATCGCAGCAACACTCCATTCCAAGTACCAATTTCAATTCTAGGTTGCATTTCTGTTGCTGGGATAAAACACTCTTAGTGCTATTTACTGGCTCACTAACTGGCTTATAGTCAGTGAGCTTTCTTATACAGCCCAGTCCACCTGCCTCGAGATGGTACTGCCCCAAATGAGCTGCATCTTGCTACGTCAATTAGCAATCAAGAAAATGCTGCAGACATGTCCACAGGCCCATCTGATGCAGGCATCTCTTCAGATGAGGTTCTGTCTTCCAAGGGATTCTAGGTCTCCTCAAGCTGACAATAAAGAAAAACCAGGGTGCTCGCAATCGCTATTTATTATTCAACAATTTATTTACTTTTCACTTCAGCAATTTTAAATCTGAAAACATTTCCTCAAGTAAATTTACTATGAAGTTTTTTTTTTAAAAAATTTATTTATTTATTATGTATACAGTAAGCCTGCAGGCCAGAAGAGGGCACCAGATCTCATTACAGATGGTTGTGAGCCACCATGTGGGTGCTGGGAATTGAACTCAGAACCTTTGGAAGAGCAGCCAGCCAGTGCTCTTAACCTCTGAGCCATTTCTCCAGCCCCTACTATGAAGTTTTTGACCAGATAAGAATAAAACAATCCTGACTTAATTTTTTTAATAGAGTAGAAAGATTCTCTATTACTGTTTCTTTGAAGATTTCAAGTCATAGCCACAAAAGTGAAAATAACAGTCCAGCTTACTTACTGAGTAAAGTAAGCATGAGTGTGTGCTTTTAAGAAAATTTTGGTAATACCATCTTTCTAAAGGTTAATTTTTCATTTTCTCCAAAGGGATATGTCATTTTTTTTTGTTTTGCCTTTTTATTTCATTTTGTTTTGCTTTGCTTGGTTTAAATCTCTGTCTGAACTATATTTTTCTTACACACATAGAAACTTGATCTCAAAATTTTTAGCAGTCTTAATCTCCTCTACTCTCCACTCAAATTTTGAAAAGCATCTCCCAATAAATCTTGCTGAGAGTAGAATATCACACTTCCTTTGCTGGGGACTCTATGTTCTTGACCCACAACTTGATTTCAGAAGTTTGAAAGTTACTTTCATTTGCTGTTTCAAAGTCAATGCATTTCTCTGTTCCCTTTTCTTAAAATCATAAGTGCTATTTCTTTTATTATTCATGTTTCCGAAGTTTTGCAGCCAAAGATAAAGGTGCAAAGGGCATATGGCAGCACTCTTTGTAGGAAAGGTACAGCTGTATTGGATTTGAAGTGGACTTTAATCCCTTCCATGTTTAGACCGAGAAAACAAATGGCAGTGCCACCTTGCCATTCTCATGGAGAATGTTTATGCTTTTTTAAATACTGCTGTGTGACCCTGGAGAAACCCTCCCAACTCATCACATAGACTTCCTTCACATCAGGAAGAAAGGCCAGCCACTGTTTTCTTGAACTGTCCGGGTATACCTACCATGTCAGCCTCTTTCCTACAATGATTGCCCAATATGGAGAACAGCCATCTTCATTTACTTCCAATCTGTATCATTTGGCTGCTGTACCTAATGCCACTCCTTCAGTAGCTCAAGTAATAGACCTTAATCCATTTCAATGGCCTCAGAGATTTTTACAGATGGGCACATGATCTAAACCTAGCCAACATGAATGATTTTAAGAACTTCCATTAGAACTGATGAGGCAGAAGCACTTTTACCATTGGAGTTGCTAAAGTGAGATAAACATCCCAGAGCTCCTGGGGGACTGTTAAGATTTACAATTGAAGAAGAAAAAAAGAAGAAGAAGACAGAGAAGAGATGTACTGAGAGAGAGGGACAGAAATGGAAAGACAGGATAGGATACAGTGGAATACAGGATAGAGGGAACCAATCATAAGACCAGAAGCTAACTTGCTTTGCTATCCCATTAGTGAGCTTTCTGCTACTATGACAGAATACCAAAGGCAATCAACTTAAAAAGAGGAATTTATTTTTCTCTCATGGCTTCAGGGATTTCAGTCCATGATCACTTGGCCCTCTTGCCTTTTCTACTGTGGTAGTGCAATACATCATAGTAAAATCACAGGTAAAAACAAATGACTCAGATCATGGTAGTCAGCAAGCAAAAAGAGAGAGATGGAAAAGGATCCCCATGCCTCCTTTTAGAGCATGCAACAGTGATAAAAGTCCTTCCATAAAGCCCCACTGCCTAAAGGCTCTACTATCTCCAAACAGTATCACAGGGTAGAGACCAAGCTATAAACATATGGAACGTTGCCGGATACTCAATACTCAAGGTGTACCACTGCTTTAACATTGCCAGTGATGTCTTAGGACAGGTACATTCATACCCTTCAATACTCTGAATTTTTCAAGAGAAACACACATCCTCAATCAGAATTCAAATACTTTCTCAGCAAGAGTTTCTTAATTGAGCCACATAGTTGTCACACAATGGTTTAATGACTAATTTTTAAATATACCCTAGAATAGTATACAATTAACTATTTTTTCAATGCAGAAGAATGGAATTCATTGCTGACACACAACACATGCCTACAAGTATTCATACTTAATTTGTTCAGACACCAACCCTCCTTGGAAAAATCTACTCTTTTCTCTGGTGTCTAATGACTTCAGCATTTTCACATATAAAACGTTTCCATTCCTCCCTCTATTACATACATTTCATTTGTACACCCCAAGCACTACCACCTAAATCTATTTAGCCCCCTAGACTCTGTAAGTACAAGTCTGAGCTCAGCTTTTTCCAAAAAGAGCTCTCTGAATTTCCTAGCTCATTCAGCTTCACTGGAAAGTGGATGGCTGTCCTAAACTCATTTCTTATCTTGTGCACCTTAACAATATTTAATTTTATAGAGTCTAACTTTCTTAGTGTTTCTTACACTTATACCCTCATTTCAATCTCTGTTGTCAACACTTGGATTAGGTTCATATCCAAACTATTTCAAAAATCCCTTACATGATTTCTTCTTGATATGGGTTCTCTTTCCAAGGAAAATATGAGCCAGAGTTGGGATTCAAACAAGGTTTGCCTTTATAACAATCGTCTTCCACTGTGCACAGAGCTTCATAGCCTTAGCCTGAGTGCATCTATGTGATGGTTAACTGGTTGTCAGTTTGTTAAGATGTTAGAAGCATCATGGGAACAAATCTCGCTGGCATGTCTTTGAAGAATTATCTAGATTAGGTTAATTGATGTGTTAAGGCAGACTTTAAATATAGTCAGTACCTTTCCAAAGGCCAGGGTCCTAGACAGAATGAAAATGAGGAAAAAAAGAGAAGAGTAGATATGTCTGGTGGTGGTGAGGCATGCCTTTAATTCCAGCGTTTGAGAGGCAAAAGCAAGAGGATCTCTGAGTTTGATGTCAGACTGGTCTACAGAGTGAGTACTAGAACAGCCAAGGCTACACAGAGAAACTTGTCTTGAAAAAAAAGAAAAGAAACCCACAAACAAAAATAAATAAATAATAATAAGAAGAAGAAGACTGTATGCAAGCATTTATGTCTCTGTTTCCTGGGGGCAGATGCAATAAAAACAGCTGCTTCAAGCTCCCCAACATTTCCTTCCCTGCCATGATTTACTGTGTCCTCCAGTTAAATGAAAAACAAAACCTTTCTCCCTCAAGTTGCTCTTGTCAGGTATTCCACACAAGAAGGAAATAACTGATACATCTACATTAAGGG